ACACTGCTGAGGGGAGCAGCGGGCGGCAGGAGAGGTCTGCGCGCCATGTGGGACCCTCCTCTGGTGGCCGGGGAGCAGCTGGGGATCTAACCGGCGCCGCAGAGGCCGCGGGGAGCTTCACAACCCAGCGCTCAACCGCTGCGCCACCGGGGAGGCCCCAGAACTGTAAATCTTTACCTTACGTATCTTCTGGGGTTGTGTGAAAGTCCAGTGGGACTTTGTAGATAGTAATGGCCACACACAGGGCACAGCTGTGACTCTGAGGGAAGTTGAGCTTTTCATCTGTTCAAAAATCAGGTCTAAGGCAGGAGGCTGACCTACATATGACCTCTCAAGACTCTCAGGAAAGGTGAGAACATCTAGGGTGTGAGGCACCTCCTGTCAGATTGTGGTAAGAACACCATGTGCCTTTGGCATCTTCTGGAGTTTTTGGCCAGAGGAAGTGGTGAACAGAACCCAGCATGGGGGGCCTCCCTGGTAGTACAAGGTGTTAAGACTCAATCTATGAAGCTATCCGCAGCCACTGCAGCATGAGTTCGATCCCCAGTCAGGGAGGTGACCCACATGGCGCAGTAGACCTCTCCTGTCTTGTGCACTGCTTCCCTCAGCAGTGTATTTCAGTTAATCTGCCTGTTCTGTTCCCTACTCTGTCTCTGGTGAATCCTCTCACCCCCCCACACCTCTGGCCTGTACCCCAGTTCTTGTATGCATAAATAAATAAATATTAAAAAAAATAAAACCAGCAGGGGAGGAGGAGACTGGAGAAATCCCTGGTCTGAGAAACCTTCCACCCACCTGAGTAGGAGCTCAAGCATAGGCTACCATTTGTGCCCAGACCTTGCCCCTCAGATCTCTCAAGGTGTCAACAAAACCAGCTTCTTCCTTCTCTTGAAAAGTCTGGTCTGGAGCATGGAGAATGGGGGTGAGCCCAGTTCCTCGGACAAGGGAGGGTGGCCAAGGCTGCAGGGAGCCCTCCAGGTGGCTCTGGTTGGGTCCATCCTGAAGTTGGGTGGCAGGACAGAGCTGGATCTCAAGATGGTTTGCTATGTCTTTCTTGGAAAGAATCATCATCCCAGGTGGCCTCTCTTCTCAAGGAAACAGGCCCAGAGAGCATTTATCGGATAGACTACCAAGCTCACTTCGAGCGGACACTCAGAGGCTGTGCAATTCTTTGTCTTTCTCCCCATAATTATGTTTATTGTGGTCACGCTGGCTACAAGGCTGTATATGACTTAGGAGTATGGGTTCACACTTCGGATGCACGTCACCACCACTCAGGTGTCAGTAATCCTCCACCTTAGTGGCATCTCCTTCCCCTTTGTTCCCCACCCCCACCCCTTCCCTTTTGGCAGCCCCAATTCCACAGTCAGAATTCAAGGGTTTATTTTGGTTTGTTTCTGTCTGTTCCTTTGCTTTAGTTTTTTATATTCCATACATGTGTAAAATCATCCAGTCTGGTCTTTCTCTCTATAATTTACTTGCTTAGCATAATCCTCTCTAGTTCCATCCATGTTGTCACAATGGCAAGATTTCACCTGCTTTCTGGTTTTTTTTTTTTTTTTTGGCAGCCGAGTACTAGTGCACCATGCATATACACATCTTTCTGATGCACGCATCTGTCCTAGGGAACAGGTCGTTTCCATACCTTGGCTACGGTAAATAGTACTGCAATGAACTGAGGAGTGCAAACATCCCTTTGAATTAGTGTTTTTGTATTCTTTGACCAATACCTGGGAGTGGAATTCCTGGATCACATGGTAGATCTATTTTTAATATTTTGAGGAATCGCCATACTGTTTCTATAGGGAATGAACCTGTCTACTGCCCCACCAACAGTGTATGAGGCCCCCTTTTTATCCACATGCTCAGATGTGGCAATCCTTAATGTTTATGCAAGAAGCATCATGGTAGGGGCCTCCCCTGGTGGCACAGGTGGTTGAGCGCCGCCCTGTGAAGCTGTCCGCAGCCTCTGCAGCGCCAGTTTGATCCCGGCCGGCCGGCAAGGGTCCCACATGGCGCGGCAGACCTCTCCTGCCTCGCCCGCTGCTCCCCTCAGCAGTGTACTTCAGTTAGTCTGCCTGTTCTGTTCCCTGCTCTGTTTCTGGTGAATCCTCTCACCCTCCCGCAAATCTGGCCCATACCCCAGTTCTTGTATAAATAAATAAATAAATCTTAAAAAAAAAAAAAAGCAGCATCATGGTAGGACCTCCCCTTCTCCCCTTCCCCTTCCTGAGGGATCACGTGGTCAAAATGCATAGTTTGATACACTAATATAAACCTGAGTAAACAGAAACTTTAGTTTAATTGAACACCAGAGACTGCCATTGATGGAGTAACTCAAGCTAAACCCTTTCAAGGATAGCACCTCAGTTCCTGCGGCAACAGGTAATACAAATATAGCCCTTACCTCGTGCCACAGGTACCATCCAAGCCCATTAAGCCCATTTTACAGATGTCACAGCAGAGGCACAGAGAAGTTAGGGACATTGCCCTGGATTGCACAGTGTAAGGGGCGGAGCCGGGACGCAAGCCCTGGCAGCCTGATCCTAGAGCTGCTCATTACCTCCATGCTGTGAATGCTAAGAGGTGGGGATGAGGCTAATCCCCTCACACAGAGGAGGACACCAACCAAATTGCTCTACCACTGGCAAGCCATGGCAAGAAATGTCTTTCCTGACCATCCTAAACAATTAAGCCTTGGCTAACAATGGCAATCTGCAGCCTTTGTGTCACCAGTGTTCTTTGCCAAGGACATTTAATCTTCACACCCCGAGGGAGGGATGCAGGGTGGGGATCTGAACTTTCACCTTTCCAGCAGGAAGTGGACTGGTACCCCAAACCAGGGGCCCCCACACCTGGACTGCCCTGGCCAAAACTCCAAGGACCTGCAATCCTGACTTGGAGCGCTGCCCTGAGCCCTAACCTGGGCAGCCAAGAGCTCACAACCCAGGGCTCACTTGCTACAATTTTTGTCTCTCGGGGAATAACTAGGCTTGTGCTCCTCTGTTGAGGGTCTGAGCATGTCAGGGTATGTCAGGGTAAGAGGCAGATCGTGTTGGATCGGCTAGAGTTGAATTTTCAGCGTTCTGGATGATTCGCATGCTCTATCAAGTGGCGGTTAACCAGCTTGGTCCCTGTAACCCGGGGCCCTAAAGAGTGTGCCCCAGAGGCTGCTGGGGAGGAAGATCAGTACTGCATCCACCAGCTGGCACCAGCAGCAAGTCGCAGAGGCTCCCAGAGCCTTCCTCCTGCCCCACTTTGTGGGTGACCCCAGGGATCCATTGATCAAGGAGAGGGGCTGCTTTGTAAACTGTCAAGTGCAGAGGACTGGTTTATCTTGGCCTTCTCACGCTTATATTTCCCTCCAAGCCGACCCCATGCCCAGACTTCTGCATTATTAACCCCAACCCTGGTGGGGCACGGCACCTGGTACTGGAAAAGGGAACTCATGAGAAGGGGAAGTCTGTGGGCCTGTGGCCCTCGAGCGAGAGTCAGGGAGACAATGCTGTCTGCTCGCTTCTGTTCCTAACAGACATCCCAGAAAGGCACATTTGTGATGAATATTCACAAAGTGGATACACCTGTACAACAACTACCCAAGAGACTGAAAAATGCTTAACCACCAGCGCCCCCCGCCAGAGTTCCTGGCCCCAGCCGGGTCTCTGCTACTCCATTGACTTCTAACAGCACAGTTTGATTTTGGTTTTGCTTGTTTTTGAGCTCTAAGTAAATGGATCATCCTGAGCTGCTACTGCTCGATACTGTGTCTGAGATTCAGCCTGCTGCTGTTAGCAGCGTACTTTGCTCCTCCTTACTGCTGTGTGTAGAAGCCTACACCAGAGCGTGACTTCTCTGTTCTGACAATGGGTTTGGGGTCGCTTTCCCTTTGGGGTGTATTCTGAATGCTCCAGGCCATGTGTCTTGGTGAGCTTTGTGCCTTTTCTTTGGGTCCAGACCTGGAGTGGAATAACAGGGTTAGAAAACGGGCAATGTTCAGCTGGAGCAACAGGAAGGATTTAAATGAGTTGTTAGTGTCTTTCTCCAGACCCGAAAGATTGTGTGCCCCAAGTGCAGGGGCCTCTGAAATTTACTGGGGAAGGAGGGTACTAGTTAGGCATCCCTGGGGGTGGGGCAGCCTTTGGCTCCTTCCTGGCTGGCATCCTCTCCCCTCCTTAGTCTGGGGTGTCTGGGCTGTAACCAGGGAGATGTCTGGGGGCCGCTCGCGAGGGTTGGGGTAGGGGACCCTTGAGCTCTTTTTCCCTACTCCAGCCAAGTCCTCTGCGTCCTCTCTCTGACATAGCAGGGTTCTGAGAATGACTTCATGTATTTTTTGGAAAAGTTTTAGCTGTTGAGATGGTTGAACATCCACTCCTCTAAAAAAGGTCCCTTCCAGCTGGAAAGTTCTATTTTGGGAACAGGAGGTGGGTGTGGGAAGGGTTAAGCATTTTTCAGCCAAAGAGCAGGGTTGGGCCTCCATGACCTTTTAAAGTTCTTATGGCTTAGTTTGCGACATAAGAGCTCTCAAAACATTCTGTAAAAATATGACTTCCGAAGCCAAGAGGATATAGAGGAGAGGTCACTGTGGAGGAGCATGTAGGTAGCATTTCCGTGCACGTCCTGAGTCCTCGCTCTTTCACCCACCCCCTCTCTCCTTTTTATTTTAAACTCCTCCTTTGGCTGCGCCTGGTACTTTGGGCTGTTTGGACTCAGATGGTTCCCATTTTTGTGAAGGAGCAGTGACGCGGGCCACTGTGTGTCCCCTCTGGAGGGGTGGACTCCCCGCTCCATCGGGCCTAGTTTGGACCTGATGTAGCGCGAGGTGAGGGAGGCTGGGTTGTGCACAGCCCAGGGAGAATGTCTCTGCTTGGCATGCAGCTCTGGGTCCACAGACCCGATAAACAGCCCATTTCCCAGGGCCAGCAAGAAACAAAGCTCCTGGCAGCTACAGGCTCTGTCTGCCACCCCCCTCTTCCTGAAACAGCTGTTTATTCTTTTGACAGGAGCTGGAAGGCAGCACCTCCCCTCCTCCTGGCCTGGCTTCTTCTGCAGAATCCAGTTCACTAGGACTGTGTGGTTTGCTTTTTACTCGGTGGGGAGAGAAGCAGACGATGAGGTATGTGAAATGCTGAAATGATTTACTTCTGCCTGGGGTGGGGGTGGCGAAGCCCTCCAGGGGAATCTCCAGCAGGCTGCCTGGGGGAGGAGCCTGGCTCTCCTCCTAGTCTCCCACAGGTCCTTCCAGTAGTTCTGGAATAAGAAGAAATCTTTCTTTGCCCCCAGTGGCGCAGAATCTGGAAATGGGAGCCAACAGGATGCTGGCTCGGGATGTCCACTGTAGGTTCTGCTGGGTTTTGTCCTGCTGTGGCCGGAGATCAGCTGCGGCGTGGGGTCTTCTCTGCAGGATTCCACAGTGGTGTGGGGGGAGCTGTGGGTGGATGTAGGGTCCTCGCCAGCAGCAGCACTCTTGATTTCCTTTGCTTATTTCTCTTGGAAAAACCTTTGCAGGATGATTCCTGGGCCTGGCAGTGAGGAAACTCTGGCTGGGTCTGGGTTGGATTTCCTGAAAGTGGGCTCAAGAAGAGGCAGGGGTGGGTGTTGCTTGGAGCACAGGTTGTTCCCTTCGCGATGGCTGGAGCGACAGTCCTATATTTAGTCTGAGACCTGTCTCTCCATCCCCCCATCTGTGTTTGCTCTAACCCTCGTAATGAGAACCAACTGGAAACAGTCTCCCGAGCACTTTTTTCTCCACGAATCCTGCCGTGCTCTGCTAGTGGGGAGTGTTAACCCTCAATGCCCACCAGTTAGAGAGGTTTTAGGATAAAGCAACGCTCTTCCTCTTCCCCCCAGCACCAGCCTCATGCTGGAAGCCAGACGGGCAGCTTTTCAAGCCTGGCACCCCCTTCTGGGTGAGCCCCAAGATCTCAGTTGTCACCAAAGCTGTTTACTCAGCAGCACTGACCATATTCAGGCTTGGACAGGGTGGAGGAGAGAGAAGACCCACCTGGGCACAGGGGAGCACCTGGCGATGCCAGAGTTGTTCACCAGCGTTCATGGTCCCAGGGGATGCTCGCTGCTCAGAAGGCTGGCCCGTGTTGGAGAGCTCTGGGTCAGTCTCTCAGGGATAATCGTGGCAAAGAAGAATATGATGAGTCCAGGGACAAGCCTTGGTGTTGGTTGAGAGCACAGTGGTTAAATGTGGGTGGCCCTGGAGGCTGATGACAGGGACCTGGACCCTGGCATTATCACTTCACGCTGTGTGACACTGGGCAAGTGACTTCGCCTTGCTGAGCCTTCATTTTCCTATCTGGAAGAGAGTGGTTGTTGCAGAGAGACTTCTCAGGGAGGTGGGCAGGCTTCACTGAGACAGCTGAGAGGACACATAACTCGGGGTCCCGCCTGGTCCAGTTAGGGAGCATCCAAGCACTGGGGCCTGAAACTTACTCCACTTTCAGGCCCTTCTTTAAGAGAAATCTGCAAATGCACCATCAGGCAGGGAAGGGAGTATCAAGAACGGAGGCAAGCTGTGCCTCCGAGCTCCGGGGCCAGAGCCCCGGTCTCGCAGCATAGACGAAGAGCTTGCACAGCAAAGAGCAAAGACAAAGACTCCACAGAGGACAAAATCCAGAAATATGGCCAAGTCCACCATAACAATGATGTGCAGGTAACGCAGGTGATTGGTATGACTTAGGGGCCTGCTTTACTAGGCCAGTGTAGGCCCCATACGCTGACCTGCTGCTCACCTGACAGCCATTTTCCCCAAAGACAAAAGAAAGACAAGTGGGTTTCATCTCTAGCCCAGTTCACAATAGGTTGTGGTTTTTTTTTTTTTTTTTGTTATCAAGGGTTTAGAAAAGTTTCTCTCAGTTTCACAACTTGATATTGGCAATGCCGCAACTGTAAATCTTTTGGCAGTTCCTTGTTGAGGCCGGAGCCCTCAACAATTCATCCTCTCTGGGCACTGTGGGGTGGCTGGATCTGGGTCCTGGATGGGGCAGAGGGTGGCTGTGACGTCTGGATTGTTGGGACCCTGAGCAGGGAGCAGAGCAATGACTGGTTCAGCTCCTTACCCTTGGCATCACAGGGGAGGCCTCCAAGCGCTCAGCCAGGTGGGTGGGCAGTTAGTGGGGTCTGTCCCTTAGCTCCGCCTGCAGCCCCAGGACAGGTGCCAAGTGAGTCTCCTAGGCAGGGGCAGCGCTCCCAGCTTCTAGGAACATTTGGGCCTTACCCCGATGGGGGATCTGGCCCAGCCTTCCAAGGTGGTCTGGCCTAGAGGCAGCATTCACTTGTGGTAAGTTGGCCTCTGAGCTCAATGCAAGTTGACTGGTAACCCTGTCACTGATCATCACTTCAGGGGATCCATGCAGGCCCTGGATAATGGAGATGAGGCCACAACTCGACCTTCAGAGCCCCGCATCTCTCCCACCAAAAAGCATCGCTGTGGTCACTGTGGTTGCCCGATGCAGCACTTACATGAGGTGCCTCATATGCACAGTTACCCTCTGTCCTTACAGGAGCCCTATGACAAGGGTATTTGAAACTCCCTTCTGTGAATGTAAATAGAGACTTGGGGTGTAAAAGAACTCCCCATGGCATACATCTAGGTCTGCAGATATACTTAGCACCAGACTCGTTCCTACCTAAGGTTGTATCTAACCCCCTCACTTACCACAGAGCATGTGGATGGCTCAAGATAGGCCCGTCCAAGACCATTAACTTGGCTCCCACTTGGCTCTGCTCCCAGTCCCTTAACCTGCTTTGTTTTCATTTGCAACACCTGCCATTCTGTATCCTCTCTGGTCTCTTGCCCAGGGGAGACTAAGGCTTGAGCAATAGCCCAGGGGAGACTAAGGCTTGAGCAGAGGGGCAGTTGGGGGCGAGGGGAGCAGCCATAGGCTGGGAGGAGGGTGCCTTAGTCTGTGCGAGGGGATGGCTGGCTTCCTCGGCCACTGCTTTCCCCGGCCTGGCTCCAGCTCCCTGAAGATAATGGCTTTTCCAGGCTTCTGCGGTTCTGTTACTCCACTGAGCCAGTCACCTTTCCCCTGGTGTGAGATGGAGAAAACAAGATCTGCTGGAATTCTGTTGAGAGGAATTCAGCTTGGAAGGAATACCTTGGCCCAGCCCAGTTGGGATGGCACAGCGAGATTCGCTGGAGCTGTGAAGCTGTGTGCGTGTGCACGTACTTGAGCTGCTGTGTGTGGGGCAGATTGGGGGTGGGTAAAGAAGAATTCCTTTATGGGCCACATGGCAAAGTCTGTCTGACATTCCAGGGAAATTGAAGCAGAAAAGGGGGAGGAAGAGCCCTGCCTTGCAAAATGCCCCCAGGTTTTTAGCATAATCTGCACAGCTTCCAGGAGGGTGGTAAGAGCAGTTTCATTTGGGTGCTTTTGCAGGGGCTGGGATCTGGAGTGGCCTAGGGCAGCCCATGTGGGTGGACGGATGGGGGTGACAGGTAGGCCTGAGAGATGGTGGGAGGCTTTGGTGGATTCATCAGGTCCTCTGAGGGTGGGGGCCTGGAGAGATGCTCTCTCCTTGAGCCAGGGTTAAAACTGGTCCTAATTCTGCATTTTGCCCCCTAAATGGGGAATTCAGATGCAATCCCTCATTTATAATTAGGTGGGTTTAGGTAATCAACCAGTGATCATCAAAATTACACAGTTTCAAAACTTCTGAAAGACAACACATAAGAGGACTTTTAGAACACAATGGTCACCAAATGTCTCATTTTGTCCAGAGAAGAAGAAATAAAAAATGTTTCAAAAGACCCACTGGTCATCCTGCCAATCCTTCCTTCCCTGGAGACTCAAATTCCAGATTCTGGAAGCATGCTTTGCTCAAGAATTTGGGCAGCTTCCCATTTAAGTCTTAAACAAGTGACCACCGTACAAAGTGAAAATTAAGCAGGTTCAAGAAATCTCTGACGTCTAGAAAGAAATGGGCTTCAAGTTGCTGCTGATGCTAACAGCTGAAATTAAAAACTCATAAAAGCTGCCTATTTAGGCTGCCTGCCTGCCGCAAGCATCTTGTTCTCTGCTAGGAGAGTTTGCACTTCTCAGGTTCATGGTTAAGGGTTCTTACATAGAAACACAATTTGCATTTGCGCCTCCTCAGCAGGTGGGAATGGTTGAGTCTGGGAGTCTGGGCCTGCGCATCTGGCAGCATGGCCACCTCCTGGGCGCGTGCCAGGCCCAGGCTTGAGCAAAGAAATTCAAAGTCACACGCCACTTCCAAGGCGTTCTCAATCAGGCAAAGGCACAGAGCAGATGGATGAGCCTTCAGAGGCCCTCATTTGCATCCATTTGCACATCATGGAATAGCATGTTCTTAATCCAAAACCTCTTTTCTTTCCCATAAGTATATTTTGAGCGCTTGCTAAGCACCAGGCACTGTGCTATATCTCATGGGGCCCTCCCAGCAGCCCTTTTCTGGATACCTGGAATAGGAACTAGCATTTTCTGAGCACACACAGGGTGCGAGGCACGGTGCTAAGTATTTTATGGACATTATCTCTCATAGTCATCTTCATGTTAGAGGCGAGGAAACCAGCTGAATGTGATGCATTCTAGACCCACGGTCCCCCTGCTGAGGGGCAAGGATGCTGGGATTCAGAATGCCAGGGGGGTGTGGATTATGTAGCACATATTATAACATATTATGTAACATTACAGGGTGGCAGCAGCAGCACATTAAAAATGCACCAATATTTTTGCAGAGAAATGTTTAACCTGTCTCACTAAATAGTATAAGAACCAAACATAGCCTCTTGTCTGTTAGGTTCCCAGCACCAGCTCAATTACAGAGACTTGATATTCAAAGGTGGGGTTGTGGGTGAGGTCCCAGGAATCATCTCGTGCTCCAGGTCACCCAGATCCATCTCAGGACACAAACCCCACCTTCACTCCATAGCCCACGTATTTAATCACCATCCAGTTGGCCCTGCAAGTGAAAATACCTCCACAAAGAGGATCGCAGTCTTAGTCCAGATCCATTTGCCCTCAGACCCAGGACTTGTCCGGCACTCAGTGCTAGTGCTGTTGAGTGGACGTCAGTGGCTTTTTCCAGCAGTGGAGCTGAGTGGCTGCATTCTGGGCCCTGGGCCCATGCACTTCTTTCTATATTCTCTCCCCAGCCAACCTCCCTCGTTCCCTTCCCGTTCAATATCATCAATGGTGTGTCCTGCCCAACCCTCTCCAGTGAACTGCAGACTGGAATGTCCTTGCCTATGTGTCATCTTCACTTCTGGAAAGGAATACATCCATGATTCTTACCCCCCAAGTCTGATCCTTCTCCAACCCTTCCAGCCCATCTGATAAAATCCTGCAACCGTTGAGCCAGCTGCTTCAGCAGAAACCTGACCTGGTTTCCTCCTCCTCATCCCTGATGTCTAAGTTACCAGCCAAATCCTATCCATACTCTCCAGAGCATATTTTAAATGAATCTACTTCTCTCCATCTTCCTGCCACCTTTTCAGCATAAGCCACCCCCTCTTTTTGGCCCTTAAGAGAGTGTGCCGACCCACTGTCCTCTGTCGGCTCCCAGCCTTTTGTCCCCTGCATTCAGGCAGGGATCCAGAGAAGCTGGATGGGTGAGTCTCAGCTTTGTGGCTCCCCACCCTACTTTCTATGCCTTTCAAGCTCTGTCTGCCCAGCCCACCTTCACTCAGCACCCAGCTCCCCTGCCCACCATGTCCCGGCCACTCTGAGAGAACGTGACTATTTCTCATTCAAGTGTTTTGTTTTGGTTTTGTTCAAACACAAGAAACCTTATCTGCTGCCAGCCAATTAGATGCTATTCCAGAGATGTTCCCATCCTGCCCACATCACTCGGAAAGTCACACCACACACCATACCCCAGTCGAAGCACTTCCCAGCCTGTTGTTCCCCACATAGCTTCCACACCCCTCCAACCTCACTTCCAAGCAGTGAACAGAGATGCAGAGAGGCACTTCTGTGCCCTGGATGCTGACTTGCTTGTAGATGTAGTGGAGAAAAGATGGGTGGGTGTGGGAAGTGTGGGAGCCACCAGAAAGGGCCACAGTGGGTGTCTCCTCTGAGGATGGGGCAGATGATTGGTATATCAAGGGCAGCTCAGTGAGGGGCTAGGGTTCCCCTAGTCACATCCCCAGCAGCGAGGTTAGCTGAGCTCATGGACCGCGGACAGCTCGAATTCACCGTAGGCCTCCTAACCTGTCCTGCTGGGCCCCTAGGGGCCGTGGCTCCCTTCCTAGGACAGGCTTGCCCTGTCAAGTCATTGACTTGGTCTCCTGGTCACCGAATTCTATGCATTTTAAGGTAGACCACACTCCTTAGCTCTTGCTAAATATTTATAGACATCCTTTCAGAGGGGATGTGGATAGAAACATTATTTCAAAACCATATTTCAGTGTGGAATTGTTCAATCTGTTTTTTCTCCCTTTTCTTTTTCCCCTCAGGAGAAAATAATGAATGTCAAAGGAAAAGTGATCCTGTTAATGCTGGCTGTCTCGACTGTCGTCGTCGTGTTTTGGGAATATGTCAACAGGTAATTATGAAATGAGATGCGACAACGTTGATGAAAGCACTGCACAGACTCATCTCCTCCAACAGCAGCCAAGTCACCAGGCCGAATTAAAATTAGGAGGAACTGAAACCATCAAGAAGGGATTCCACCCTTCCTGGATCCCTGGGCCGGCTTCAAAATCCTAATACCTTCTGGATAATCAAGTATCTTCCCTCTTACCATGGCCCTAGTACCTTGGTTTCTGCACCTCTGTAGTTCAGGGTAGGCTAGATTCCGAAACAGTGAGGTCAAATGAAAGTCCAAAATGCCTCTTTAAATTACTTGTATGATGAAATATGGAAATTACCTGAAGAAATTTCAAACAGGAATTCCATGAGAAATTCCAACCTCAGTTTTGCAATCCTAGAGTATTTATAGAGCTTAAAGGAGCAATTCAAGTTTGTTGATTTTTTTTGTTGCAAAATACACTCTGACTCTCTGGTGATTCATGTGTGCCTGGCTAAAGCTTTTGGGTATTGCTTTTTTTGTTTTTTCAAATCTGGAAAGTAAAAGGAATTAAACATTACTGAGTTTTTACATTCATCAGTAGACTCACCCCAAATAGATGAGTTACTTCTGTGCTTTTAGAAACTATAATGCTCCAGGGCCTCCCTGGTGGCGCAGCGGTTGAGTGCTGGGCTGCAAAGCTGCCCGCAGCCTCTGCAGTGCTGGTTCGATCCCCAGCCGGCCAGTGAGGGGCCCACATGGCACGCAGACCTCTCCTGCCACGCCAGCTGCTCCCCTCAGCAATGTGTTTCATCAGTCTGCCTGTTCTGCTCCCCGCTCTGGCTCTGGTGAATTCTCTTACCCTCCCGTGCTTCTGACTGTACCCAGTGCTTGCATAAATAAATAAATAAATCTTTTTTTTTTTTTTTTTTAAAAAAAAAGAAAGAAACAAACTATAATGCCCCATAGATTTCTGGGTCTGCCAGAAAGTCTCTGTGAGTAGCTACAAAAATGCATGATGCTTTTGACTTAGGAGACCCTGGTACCTCTTGGTCTTTTGTCCAAAAAGCCCAGCATACAACTCTGGGCAGAGTCAGCTATTAGCACCATTAATATTTTCATGTTGAAGTGCTTTGTAGCCCCCACATTCAGGATGACAGCCTGGATTAGCATTTGAATGTCTTGTTCAGTTCTTTAATTCTAAGATTTGAGGTACCAGCAAGATCATCTTGACTATTAAAGAAGGAACTACACCTTTAGCTGCATCCATAGGTGGGCTCTCCAGAATACAGGAACTATTTTTCCAGGTGCTAGGCAGATCTAATGGCTCAGGAATGAGTGTTATCCTGGTTCATTCTGAACAACTCATTTTAAGAAACACATGATGAGCTAGAATGTGGTCAAGTGAAAGGGATCTAGAAACCAGGTCTTTCAAATTGAGGAAGCTAGGGGTACACACTTCAAAGGAAAGATGATTCAGAGTTGGGTGCAGGGACCTGAGGATCCCTTAGGTACCTAGTGGCTAAGGAAATACCCTTGTTGGTGTCAGGAGCTAGGCTACCAGGATCTGGTCCTACTTCCACTTACCTACTCTGTGACCTTGGGCAAGTTACTCAATCACCCTGTTCCTCAGTTTCCCTGTCTTCAAAAATAGTATCACTTGCTTGATGGGTTGCTGAGAGGAATAAATAAGCTATTGCATATCAAGCTTTTAGGGTAATACCTGGGACTTAATAAGCACTCAGCAAATGCTTGCTGCCAGCACCATCACCATCGTCACCATCATCATCGTCACCATCACCATCCTCTGCTCCAGAAGGCAGAACATGACAAGGGATTTGAGCAAGTAGAAGAAAGAGCTCTAGCAGTTGGTAGAATCTAACAGAAGAATTACACGTCCTTTGGGGCTCCTGCCCAGGGTTGAAATGCAAATAAGGACACCCTGCGCTCAACATGTTTGGATAACCTTGGTGTTTTGAATGTCAGCCAGACTTGTGCTTCCATATTTTGGGTGGTTCACAAAATTAAAATATGGAAGCCAAAGGTTCAAATGTGAGTTTGGCACCTACCTCCCACAGAGGGTTGTTTTGCAGTCTGCGCAGTCTCACTGTGCCGTGACCGTAGCAGGTTTGGGTCGCTCTTCAGGGCCGTGGCCTGGTACCTGGACTGTGGACACATCACTCTTCACTGTGCAGAGTCTCCTTGAACCTTGCAAGAGGCTTCCAAGGCAGCTGATTCAACAGGATGGAAAAAGAAAACCTTAGAATTGTAGAGTTTGATAAAACTTAAAAAGTAAAATGTTAATGATGGTGATGACAACGATAATGACAGCAGCTACTGGCTACTGAGTGTGGCTTGTTCTAGGAACCATGCTTTGAATCCCGGTGAGCTGAAGCTCAAGCCCTGCAAGGCATTAATTCAGGTTCCCCGGTGAGGAGTACCCTGCTCCACAGTGTGAACGCTTAAGGTCACATTTTCAAGAAGACACAGGTCCAGGGCTCTCTGACTATAGCTCATTCTCTTATCCACCCCACAGCCCTCCCCTTAGTGGAGGGTCCCATTTTTCAAGTGATAAAATGGAGACCAAATAGGAGAAGTGACTTGGTGAATTTATGTCCAAATTGTAGCTAGAACTCATCTGCGACTCCTTGAGCTACTTGTCTGTGCCAAGGGCCCTGAGCCCATTAGAACTCCTGCCCTGGGGGACTCTGATCTATTGAATAGGGGGATCAAGAAGGCATGTGCATAAATAACCACGATACAGAGAAGGCTATCAGATAGGGAAGGGGGCTGTGAGAGTTTAGGAGGCAAAGGTATGTTTGGCTCAAAGGAGAGTGGATTTTAGGCACTACTGTATGAATATTTATTGAGCACCCACTGTGTACTAGGCTTGAGCTAGGATTACATCAAGAAAGGCACAGAAAAGATGGCATCTGAACTGTGCCATGAAGGATGAAGACGTGGGATGCCATATACTGTGGGTGGATGTCCCCATGACCGTTGAGATGTTGAAAGAATGTGGATAATGAGGGTTAGGAGGAGGGGGATGAGAGATGCCAAATGCTCATGAGGGAGCCTGCATGCCCGGTGGAGCGGTGTGCACTGGGTTGCTGTAGGCCATGCCTCCTCATGAAGGATCCCAGAGTCCAGCCCCTCAAGTTTAAATAGGGGTTCTACTCATTAGCAGTATTACTTTGAACAAATCACTTAAAGCCTCTGTGCCTCAGTTTCCACTCTGTAGGATGAGGAAAACAAGAACCTACTTCATTAATTTTTGTAAGGACTTAATACACTAATATGTCGATTATTTACGGTAATCTAAAATTTTAGGAGGCCATTAAAAGGCAAAGCACATTTGGGATCCAAGAACTGTAATTCAGGATACACAGATTCAGGGAGACACCTAAAACGTGTCCCCAGGAAGGACAAAGCCCTGGGTTTTTGGGAGGAGAAAAGAGGACAAAGACACAAGTGGCTTAAGAAAAGAGTTAATTCTTGGTAACGAACAACCTGTTCTTGGCTAGACATGACTGGCGACTGATCTATCCTCTGGGAACAAGTCCATAATCATTGTGATTAGGGACTCGTGATCTGGATGACTTTTCAAACAATTGTTTGCTTAATGGTTTTTAAAAACAATAGCTTTTTTGGCTCAGCTCAAGGGTCTTTGACCAAGTTCATAAAATACTGCTAACACAATTTCTCAGTAATGGCTGAAGGTGCCATTTTAAAGATGGCTCCACTTGTGTCACCCTTTGAATGGCCTGCCCAGCATTTGCTATCATGAATATTGTCAGAGTCAATACAGAACCAAAGAACTTGAGAGCTTGGTTCAGAGTATTGGGCTTGGAGGGGAAACCACAGTGGTGAAAAGGGGTGGATTTTCTACCTACAAGGAGATGAGAGGGGAGGGCACTTTGGCAGAGTCTGAAACAATCACTAGGCACTGATTTTTCTTTTTTAAGAGATGAGGGCCTGGGGCCAGGCAGTGTGGGCACCTGAGCCCATGGCTAGAAGTCCTCTTCTTGGCTAAATCAACACGGAGCAGAAGTGAAAGAGTAAGGGTCAGCATTCGGGCAGTGTCCCTGCACGAAACGATGGTACAATCTAGTGTGACAAGTTCTGTCACTTGTTTCCCCCAATGTCTCTCATGTCGGTGCACTTCTCCCCATCATCACGGCTACCTGATCTGCACCACAGATGTCACCTAACTGGTCCCCACACCTACTCTTCTACCCCTGCCATCTGCTTTCCAGCAACTTTCTTCAGGTGCCAACAAGACTCTGTCCCTCCCCTGCTTCAAACACTTGAAAATCTTCAAGTGGCCTCTGGCTATTGTGACTTTATTTATTTGCACATTTAAATGCTTGTTTCCTTCCTCAGGGCTTCTGCATAATTTTTTTTACTCTATCAAGAATGCTCTTCCTGTATCTGCCTCACCTGGACTCCTATTTATCCTTCAGAACTCAGCTAATGCTTTACCTCTTCCTCCAGGAAGCCGTTGAGGTTCTGTTAAGTCCTCATAGTTATTTCTCTCTCTCTTTTTTAAAGATTTATTTATTTATGCATACAAGAGCTGGGGTACTGGTCAGAGATGCAGGGCGTGAGAGGATTCACCAGAGACGGAGTGGGGAACAGAACAGGCAGACTGACTGAAACACACCGCTGAGGGGAGCAACGGGCGAGACAGGAGAGGTCTGCTGCACCATGTGGGTTGCTCCCTGGCCAGCCGAGGATCGAACTCATGCTGCAGAGGCTGCAGATTGCTTGATAGTGTGGTGCTTAACCCCTTGCACCACCAGGGAGACCCTATTTCTTTTTTTTTATACCTCTTCTTAGAGTTTGAAGTCCTGTAGCTTTGAGACTATTTGAATAAGGTCTGTCTTCCCTAAGACTGTCTGCTCCACAAGGACACACAGGGACTGTGTTTGTCTTACCCAACACCACGTCCCCAGCACTTGCCCCGTGACATGTGCTCACAAGCATCTGCTGAGGAATGGGGATGGTTCACCAGAGACAACAGCTGCCCAGCCTTGCAGGTGCTTTAAGAAGGTCTCATTGCCTTTTTTAGCTCCTGGCCACTGGGACTACCCTGCCCAAAGTGCTTAGCAGCAAGTACTGGGCTCTGCAGTGGCTTTATTTTCTGGGGAAGATCCTCCTTGGGTGAGGGATGCCTGTGCACAGTGTTGCTGGGTAAGGGCCAGGAGAGGACCCACCTGTGGAGCTTCTTCCACAGGGAAGCCACCGCAGGCAGTGGAGAGCCATGGTTGGAGATTCTCCAACCTCCTTCCTACCCCTTGCTCTGGCTAATCCTGAAAGGACCACAAGTGGAAATTCCCAGTCTCTTGATATGACTGGTTCTATCCCAAGGAAGGTATTTGAACCTAGAAGTAGGAGAATCCAAAATCCAGCCTCTCAACTCAGCCCAGGGCTTTGATAACAATGGTTGTAAAATAGCTTTTCTCATAATTAAAAGTAACATGATATATTTTTTATTTCTTGTTTGCTTTTAGCCCAGGAGGCTCTTTCCTGTGGATATATCATGCAAAGTAAGTGCTTTGAATTCTGGTATTGAGAGATCGCCCATGTCTACTTGTGTGCCTCTCGTCCTTTCTTCCTGGCTCTGGTGCTCTGGACAAAGGGTAGTGGAGGGGGCAGGGGCTCCTGGGATCTAGACTGTGTAGCCTGAGCCTCCAGACTTGCCTATGTTGAACCAAGACTTGGGTTTCACCCTGACTTCTCAATATGGGTCTCTCTAAGTGGAAGGCATTTGGAAGACATTTCCTGCCTGGCTGATAAAAAGAATCAAGGCAAATATTATCCATTATCTGTCCAGTGTATGTTATAGAAAGACACTGCAAGAAATTTCTTTGAGACAATGAATCAGGAAAAGCATTCGGGTGTCCTGATGAAGTAGTGTGTATATAACAACAATAATAATGTCACCATTATATAATATGTAGTTTATTAATATGTAATATATTGTATATAATTATCATTGTATATCGCTATATGTTAATTGCAATGTTAAATGCATCTAATTACATATTACAAACTATTATCATTAAAGGTAATGAGAACTATGCAAGCCTTCACTTTTCTATCTTTGGCTTGCTTGCCAGGAAGCTCAGAACAAAATGTGTTTATCTGTTCATACTTAACTCAGCCTTCATTTCTGACACAATTTACCCCCTGGTGTGAGATCCAGGCTTTTATGCTTACAAAATACACGGGATCTTGGCCGTTTGCCCAAATCCACTCAGCCAATATCTCAGTTGTAAAGAAAAAGGCCTTTCTTCTCATGGGGCGGCTGTGGTGGCCAAGGCTGCGTGACATGCCAACCTGGGAGACCATGCAAAGGTCGCTCTTTGTCCCCTGCCCCTCTTTAAAAAAATCCTTGTGTTGTTTCCGTTTATTTGAATCACATCTTCATCATCAGTGTTTGAGTCATATCAAACACTTTCTGAACAGACTTTGAAACAGGTTTCTTAGTGTGTCTGTCCACACCTCCCCACCTTCTCTGTGCAACCCAAGGGAGCTGCACCCCGCCTTTCCCTCTCTCTCGCACAAGGAGTGTGGAAACTTCCATTGGTGGCGGCAAAAGTGACTTCTGATTAGTTTCCTGAACTTCTGGTTCAGAGACCCTCAAATTTCCTGCAGCTGCCACTGCCCACCTTGGCAGCAGCCTGAATTTGCCTAGGTTAGCAAAGCAATTATTCTTGGAAATGCTCACTTGTTAGAGTCATTTTAACATACAATGCTTTTCTATGTATGCAGTTTCATTTAGTCTTCAGAAGTACCTTATGGTAATTTATCATCATCACCATCCTATTATTATTTTATTACTATTATTATCTTCAGATAGGACTCAGAGAGAATAGTAAAGGGCACATCCAGGGCTCACTCAGGTTTATGTATTCATGCCCCGCCCTCATCATTCTTTTTCTCTCCTCCTGGCTGGATGATGAGCTGAGTCTGGGGGCTGCCCAGAGGAGGGGAGTCTGGAGAGAGAGTCAATGCAGGCCATCCATCCAGTTTCAATAGCCCCCTTGTTCTGTCTTATTAATTTTCAGTTTTTAAAAAAATGTTTTATACCATTCCCCTTGGTCTTTTCTCTCTCTCCCTCTTCCCTCCTCTCCCCCTCTCCTTCTGTGTGTGTGTGTGTGTGTGATTGTTTATCGAGGTAACCTTGGTTTACAGAACTGTATATGATTTGGGCACATAGGTTCACATCGCTTCAGATCTCTTCAGATTTAAAAAGAGTTTTAATGATCTCCTGTCATAAAAAGAACTTGGAAATTCCCCAAGTGTAGGACTGCCTCATTTTCTAAAAATATTTCTAATCTTTATTTCTTAGAAACCCAGAAGTTGGTGACAGCAGCCTCCAGAAGGGCTGGTGGTTTCCGAGCTGGCTTAACAATGGGTAAGCATGGGGGGGCAGAGGTGGCTGTCCACCACCCACTCTTAGAGAGGGGCCAAATGAACGGATCCCTGGCCATGACGTTCTCGGCTGTTGCTCTTCCTGGCTTATTCCAATCCTACAAGGAATCTATTTTGTTCTTGGTAGGAGGCCATTTAATTATGTTTGTTTTTTCCATTTAACTTGGGGTGAGTGCAGCTTGGGCCGAAGTTTAAATGACAGGAAAGATTATTATAAACTAAGCTCTTTGGAGGGCTCTTTCATCAAGCTTCTCCGCCTCCTCAAATAAGGGGCATTGGCCATTTGGTTGCCAATGAGGCTGACTTAGAAGGGTACCAAGAAAGGAGAGCTGGGAGCAGTGTCTGCCCACCACAGGCGAGTCTTATGAATATGGGGTTCGTCTCAGGACCCCCACCCCCCACCATTTGCTTGGTGCACATGCCCTCAGCCTCCAGTTGCATTTTCAGGAAAAATTCACCAACTGCCGATGCCCGAGCTCCCCCTCCCTGCCTCACTCAGTGTGCTTTCCTTTGCACACAGGACCCACAATTACCAAGAAGAAGAAGACACAGACAAGGGACAAAGACCAGAAGATGACAATGAAGAGCTTCGACTATCAGCCTGGTTTAGTCCACAGTAAGAAATGTTCTGCCTCCTGCAGTCAAGCCCTAGCTCAGCAGGAAGCCACTGAGATTACCCCTGGTTGGGGAGAAAGTGTCTTGGCGCCTGTTAGACCTTTGACACCAGATTCGATGAGAGATAGAGCATCTAATTGGTTTGACTCAGTTGTTAGAGCAGCGATTCTGACAGGAGTTGGCAGGTGATAGGAGAAGAATCACAAAATACTGAGGCCAAAAGGGATCTTGCAGGCCACAGGGTATTGCAGAAAGCATCTGCTAGTGCATCGACCGATGGGCACCCCAACTTTGCCAGGCAGGTATTGTCTCCAGTTTGTGAAGGACACAGCTCAGAGAGGTGCAGTAATGTGCTTAGGGTCACACAGCTAAGATGTCTGGGTATTCCCCACCCAGTCCAGCTGCCATCTTGTCACTCTCACTAAATCTCAAGCTACAAGGCTAGACTGCGTATTCACAAGAGAAAAACAAAGCTTCAGTTACTCTAGATCAGGGGTTAGCAAACACTTTTGTAAGTGTGCAGACCAAGGGACCCCGAGACCCCCCAGCTCACACACTCTAAAGCAGTCTGGTCACCTGTGTGCACAAAGACAAAGTATATTTTTAGTGTAAAAAAATGTTCATAGAATTGGTGTGCATCAAAAGAGAAGTGAAAAAAGGATAGAGTTTCCCAATAAAACACCCAAACTTACCCATCATGGGTAAATGCCCAGGCAAACAGAGTTGGCTCAAGGGAGGGAATCTGTGGCCCAAAAGCCACAAGCATCTTCAGCGGGGTGTGGGGTATGGGTGGAGACCCTGTAGGGAAGTGGCTGGAGGGACCAGGCAAGTCCAGTACAACTGTCAGCCTCTCCCTGAGCCTTTCACCCACGTGTCTCTTCCAAGATTCTCTGCATGTCTCTCCACATGTCTCCTCCAAGTCCCCCAAGTCCCTGGTGCAAGTCCAAAGCCAAAAAGCAAGCGAGCCCTTCTCCATGTGTCTCCCTGCGCCTACCCGCCTTCTGTGTTATCTAGCTTTTTCTGGACACTCAGCTCCACCCATTGTTAAGCAAAGCCCGGAAACACAGTACCTCCCTCTTTTATGGAGATGTCTCTCTTACACATCTAAGTCAGAGCAATGAAATTGTTCCCAAGGTTCCGTTAACACCTCTGTAAAATGGCAACGAATGTCTGCCAGACACTAGGGCTTTTCAGATAGGGCTCCTACCTCTTAATATGCTCAGAAACTAACTTAACAGTTCAAAACCAACTTTAAAGAAATTGGAATCGAACAGAAAGTCAGCAGCCATCCCATGAAGGATAAGGATCATGTCGCGGAATTTTTGTGTCCATAGCTAGGTGGCTGTGCATATACTTGGTTGTGATGTGAAATGTAATTTTCTTTTTTTTTAAAAAGATTTATTTTATTTATTTATGCACACAAGATCTGGGGTGTAGACCCGAGGTGAGGGGAGGGGGGAATGAGAGGACTCACCAGAAACAGAGTGGGGAGCGGAACAGGCATATCTACTGAAATACACTGCTGAGGGGAGCAGCGGGTGAGACAGGAGAGGTCTGCTGTACCATGTGGGTGGCTCCCTGGCCTGCCAGGGATCAAACTTGTGCTGCAGTGGCTGCCGATAGCTTCATAGCACTGAGACTTAATCCCTTGTGCCACCGTATTTTTCAATGTGAGTTGTGATCAAAACTCCTGTACTAGACAGGGGGTGAGGCACAGGAAAGAAGAGAACTCTACCACCATAACTATATTCCAGAGAGTCATAGTCTTATGGGGATGGTAGGTTGACAATCAGCATGACTTAGAAGGACATGGTCTGGGGAGTCAGGAGGTGACCTTGAGGCCCAAGAGACCTGGGATGGGAGTGGCCCTGTCCAGGAAGGGGACTGGAGGAGGGAATGCAAGTCTGGGACTCGAGGGAGGGTGATGGACATGGATTCAGATACTGGTGGGGCATCGGGTGGGAGATCCACAAGGTGCTTGTCTTAGTGTGTTCCAGCTGCAGTGACAAAACCACAGACTGGGTGGCTTATGAACAAAAGCAGTTTATGTCTCACAATTCTGGAAGCAGGGAAGTCCACGGTCAGCATCAACTGATTTGATGTCTCATGAGGCCATCTTCTCCGAGTCCTCACATGGAGAAAGGGGTGAGGTGCAATCTGGGCTCTCTTATAAGGGCACTAATCCCATCCATGAGGGCTCTAGCCTCATGACCTAATCACCCCCCAAAGTCCCCACTCCAAATTCCAGCACATGGAGGATTTGATTTCAGCTATGAAATTTGAGGCATTCCCAGTGCCTATGAGCTCAACACAAGAGATATGGGGACACACAGATGAGGGGCCATCAGACTACAGGGACCTGATGAAGCCCCACCAAGGCTGTCGAAGAGACAGAGCCAAATCTGGTCTGACACTGGCAGTGAAAGGGCTGGTGAAGGAAGAGTGTCTCAAAGTTGCTGGAACAGCTGCAGGAAGAGGAGGCTTAGGAGAGAATAGCTTCTACCAATCAGAAGGATCTTGGGTTCTGGAAAGACTCAATATGTTCTGGCACGTTCTCTCACTGCTTTGGGATAGGGGACCCACACCATACATGGAAATATGGAATAGGGCCCTTGTGTGTCTTTGATGTTTTGATGAGCTGCATGACAGGGCAGCCAGTTCTGAGGGGCTAAGCCAGTGCTGGAATGTGAACAGAAGGAAGCACTGTCGCTTCCACAAGCTTTGCCACGTGTGTACATGTGGTGGGTGAGACCCCCCAAGGGGCAGACTAGCTGAGCCAGAGAGGCTTCCCAAGTACACACGAGGGTGTGGTACGTGTACCTGATGAGCAGGACTTGGGAGTCGGGGTGAGAGCTGAACTATGGAGGGCAGCAAGGACAGACAGGGCACAGCCTCCAGCAGCCCCCTCTCCACACACCCCGGGCACAACTCAGCTTCTCCAAATGAATGGCGAGCTGGTAGTTAAAAAGTATTGATTTGAAGTTGCACTGCATCGTAGCCATCTCAGCCTGTTTCTGGCATAAATTAATGCCTAGATGGGCATCCAAGTGAACAAACAAGTTTTTCTATGTAGATGTTTATGTAAACCCTTTCCTCTAGATGACCGAAGACATTACAGCATATTGTGGACACATTTTCCCACCGTTATCTCTTAGCTTCTGTGACAGCACATCCTCTTAGTTTTCCCCCTACTTCTCCATTCTCCCTACTCAGTCTCTGAAAAGGGGCCTCTTCCTCTTCCCAGGTGCCCATCAGTAGGGTTTCTGGGTCTGGTATCCTGGGGTCCTTTATACCCATCTTCTAGGGGGCCATCATCCACTGCCATGGTGTCAGACACCATCTGGGTGGGAGTGACCCCCATATTAATATTTTTCACCCAAAGGTTCCTTTGATCCCTGTCTTCTGTCCAGTGGCCTTCTGGTCTCACGTGACCCAGTGCATTTTTTGATTGTGCCCCACCCTGTTCTCATTTCCCCCTCCAGCCAGCATCGCAGAGACCTCTCCCCCATGCCCGTATCTGTCTAGTTCAATCACATGTTCTGCTCATTCCTCCAACACTCTCCCCACATTCTCCCCTCCCCTCCACTCCACAGCCACCATCCTCGCTCAAGTTACGTCTGCTCTCCCTGGAGTCCCTGTCCAGCTGGCTGCTCTTCCTAGTGATCAGTCCCTGCAGCAGTGTGCGTTCCGTGTCTTTTTCAACCTTGCATGATTCATAGATTTTTAATACTTCCTCTACCCCACCCCTGGGTTCTTTAACAAAAACTAAAAACATACAATTTAAAGTCTACAAATAACCTATGTGCTTGGGTTCTGGGGGCCCTTTTCTTTTGTGGCATGTCTTTGGTCTGTGGCATGTCTTTTGGTCTGTGCTGGTGAAACCACGCAAGCTGATGTACCACAGTGGGTACCCCTCAGAGAAGGCAGGCATTTGGGCAGCTCGGAGTCTTTCCTGGCACTTCCTCCTTAAATCACCCATCGCTGTGACCTTGAGCATCCCTGGCAGTTGACACTGGTGAGGCTGGCTCTTGCATGTGTGTGGTCTGCCCTCCATCGCTTCTTTGACTTTTGGGGGTTTAAATCAGAGTTTCATCCAGGAAGCTGATCTCCTTCTCAACCTCCGTCCCCTCCCCACTACATGAGGTTTTAGACTATGGTCTGACTTCTTAGGGTGACTGACATTTTGGAATTGTCAATGCAATTTAATAATTAACAGCTGGGAAATAGAACATTTTAATTTTTAATGAGACATTAATCTTTAATATTGCTCCTTTTCTTTTTCCTGATAGAAGGAATCTTCCCAGCCAAGTAGCCAAACTAGACAATGCTTTTGTAACTGGATCTTTCTAGAAGATTTGGAGCCACTGTTTGTGTAGCAGGCTAACCACCTGTTGGGGCTTTGAGATGCACAGGGCTGGGCTGGGTCTCTTTTCTCTGATCTTCAAGCTTAGCTCTGGGCCTGAGTCCCAGCAGGGGCTTAGGAAATGTACTCAGAGGGACTGAATGTCCAGGTCTGGCCCTTCCTGTAAAATAACTGGTTAAAGATCCCCACACCTCTCCTTGCTCCGTTTTATAAGGTGGTTGTGAGGATTAAATGAGAATGATGCTCTCTGCACTGTAAATATTAGTAAGAATACCTGCTCCTTCCTTTATTCCTCCTTTTTTAAAAAAAAATAATTTTACCTGCTTACCAAATGTCCAGCTCATCTGTAGCTGCAAGACTTAGCTAGTAGGCTGGGTCAGAACTACTAGAAGATGCTTGATGGGCTGAAACTCAGGACTGCCGTGAGCAAGGGTTAGTACACAGAAGAATTTAAGTTCAGAAAGCTGGTTATAGAAGAATAAGCTGTGAGTATGTGTGAGCGCGTGTGTGTGTTTGTGTATTTCAGTTTGAAATCCTGTCATTCAACAAAGCTGGAGGTTTTATGTGACTGAAGCATCATATATGCTTCTAAAAACAAACCAAAATAACACTTGTCATTTCTCACTTTGCGCTGCTACTAAAACCCAAGTAGCTAAGTTGATGGAAACACTGACTGACAACTCCCAGCTTCATTAGCAGAGCGAGTAAATGTCCAGAGAAGAAGTGATACAGGCTAATGGCTCTAAGCACCAACTAGAGAGTCAAAAATATGGATTCAAATCCCACCTTTGCCACTTACTAGCTGTGTGACCTCAGACCAGTGACTTAACCTCTCTGTACTATGGTTTCCTCACTGATAACTTGGGAATCAGAATGGCACCCACCTCTGAAGGTTGAAGCTCTTAGCACAGTGCCTGGTCCCACAGGAAGTGCTGGTGTGTCAGTCATCAGCTGCCAGCGGTGTGGCCCTGGCCAAGTCCACAAGCTTTTCTGAGCACTGCTTGTCCTACCTGGGGGTTCGGGTCTGGTTTGAATCACTGATGTTGTTTCTGTCTCTGCTTCCCATTTTCCTGAGTCCATGGAAGCGGGTGCTGAGTGCCCCCACCCCTTCCTGCCAGTTCCGCCCTTGCGCAGCCTGGGAGTCACAGCCTTCTGCAGGCCCCCTCTGCAGACTGCAGCTGTAAAAGTTCTTGCTACTTCCTGTTGCCTTTGCTGAGTCCCTTTCCCGACCCTTGGGTTCTAGAGGTCTGAGGAGGAACCAGTGGTCTGAGGAGAGGGCCTGGGGCTGTTGCCAGAGCCCCATGTCTGGCCCTGGCCTTGGCAGGCCTCTGTCCATTCTCCACTGGGTGAGTGTGTCTCCTTGTTTGTAAAATGAATAACACCAAGATCCCCTTAGCCAGGGCCCTCTTTGGCCCATAACTAGGTTTCTCCTCAGAAATCCCTTTCTGGCAAAAGGCAAATTGAAATGGGTTTTCCTCCTTAGCCCCAATGTCACTCTCATCCCCCTGTGTCAGGGATTAAGGCCTTCTTAGGCTCAGAGAGCACCCACAGAGACAAACAGCTCCCAAAGATGCCACTGACAGCTTAGGGAGGGGCTAGAGAGATAAGAGGTTTAGAAGGAAGAAGAGAACAAGGAAAGCAGGAAAAGGGGGACAGAAGATATGAGCATGCAGGTAAGAACTTCGAGGCCCCCCCAAGACAGCCCTCAGAGGCACTGGGCCTGAGCATCCTGTCCTCCCCTGGAAGATGCGTCCTATTCACGTCTGTGATGCTGTCTTTGTCCCCATTTCTGGCACACATCTCCTAAAACCCTTGCAGTTTTTTAGGTGATGAGAGACACAGGTGTCTCCTGGTATGTTAATATTTGGGGGAGGCCCCACCCCCTGAGCTCTAGGGAGGGAGGGACTGCAGATGAACCACCACTGGTCAAGGATTTAATTAACTCTGCCTCCGTAAGAGCCCAAAAGACAGGGTGGAGGCTCGGGGAGAGGGGCTCAGATGGAAGCCTGTGCCCGCCCCATACCCGCCCCATACCCGGCCCACATCCGGCCGTTCCGGAGTCCTGGCCTTGTGTGATAAACTGCTGCATAAAATGTCTCTATGAGCTCTGTGAGCTGCTCTAGCAAATTAATCGAGCCCCAGACGGAGGGTGTTGGACTCCAGCTGTTGGGTCAGAACCAGACCATGTTCTTGGGATTGTGATTGCTGTCTGAAGTGGGGATGGCAGCCTGGGGTGCGGAGTCCTCACTGGGAGAAGCTGATGCTAGATCTCTAGGCAGATGGTATTAGAATAGGGTTAAATTATAGGACACCCAGCCGCTGTCCTAGAATCGCTTGGTGTTGTGTGGAAAAAGCTGCCCTCCCTGCCCCCATACACACTGGCACTGAGTACAAGAACCTTTTTAATGTCACCCATCTCACTACTTGGAGTTAAGCTACTACAGTCAGGATGTAACAACAGCCTCAAATCATTGTGACCCCACTTTCCCAGTCTCTGCCCCCCTCACCCGAGCCATCCTGACTCATGGGGCTCTATGTTTTGTCATCAGGAAGCGCCCAGAGGTTGTGACGGTGACCAGATGGAAGGCGCCAGTTGTGTGGGAAGGCACTTACAACAGAGCCATCTTAGAACGTCATTATGCCAAACACAAAATTACTGTGGGCTTGACGGTCTTTGCGATTGGAAGGTAGGTGTCCCTAATAAAACTGGTCTCGACTTTTTCTTGTTCCACTGTCACTGTGTTTGTGAACTGTTCATGAGCTGTCTGGATTTTAAGATGGCAGCCTGTTACCACGGGACCATTCAGACTCCATTTCTACTAAGTCCCAAAAGGCTTAAGAACAAAATGGCTTAAGAACAAAACTTTCTTCTACCACAAAGCAAGGGTCTCTGGTTGCAGATAAAAACATAGGCTCTACCCAAGGAGCCCAGAGTTTCTGCAGCACATCCACACCACCCACTTCCGACCACAATGGCTTCTTCTGGAAGTTCCCCAAAGACCAGCTGTTAGATGACCAGCTGAGTGTCATCCTGTGTCCTGTGCTCTCAAGACAAGCTCTGGGTGCAGGGCAACCCCAGGTTGGGCCATGGCTGACCAGACTTCCCAGATTTCTCGGGTCTCCTACCCTCTCTCTTGGAGGATTTGGCCCTAACATTTGGCTAGTCAGAACTTCCTCTTCCAGAGGTCGGCTAGGTTCCTATTTCAGCCTCCATTTCTCAGTTCAGAATGTTTCTCCCCAAACTGCAATCATTCTTACATGAAAGTAGTAGCAGTAATACTAGTTTTAAAATGAAACTCACTTTGCCCTTTGGGAGAAATTTGTTTTTTCAAAACAAAAACAAAAGTTCAATTTTCCTGTCCCCCTACGGGCCTTCCCAGGTGTACCTTTTCTGAAATCACATGGCAAGTTGACCCTTTTCCCTTTGTCGTGTCCAAAGAGAGTTGGAGTGGGCCTCCCTGGTGGCGCAGTGGTTGAGCGCTGGGTTGGGAAGCTGCCCGCAGCCTCTGCAGCGCCAGTTCAATCCCCGGCTGCTCCCCGGCCACCGGAGGAGGGTTCCACATGGAGCGCAGACCTCTCCTGCCGCCCGCTGCTCCCCTCAGCAGTGGACTTCGGTCCTTCTGCCTGCTCTGCTCCCCGCTCTGGCTCTGGTGAATTCTCTCACCGTCCTACGCTTCTGACTGTATCCAGGGCCGTGCTTGTATAAATAAATAAATAAATCTTTAAAAAATTAAAAAATAAAATAAATAAATCTTAAAAAAAAAAAAAAAAACAAAAACAAAGAGAGTTGGAGGTCCAGGCTGATCTGCACTTGAGTTATTCAGGTTACCGTCAGGGCCTAAGCAAGGGATCTGTGAAGATCTAAGTCTTCCCCAGACTTTCTCCCATCCAGGACCCAGAGCCCTCAGTGTCACTATATTAATCACTTCCTAATGTCACTGTGCTGATTCCAGGGGCCTGGGTGGCTTCTGTGGCTTCTTCATCGAGAAGGATAACTCTAGAGTTGGGAGATTCTTACTAGAAGATTCTGTACCATGAGGAGTTGGGAGCTAATGCTCAGCTCACCTGATCATGAGGGTGACAAGCCAGCCACGCCCCCAATTCCTGTGATCATGGTGTTTCCGAAGAGATCAGAACTGTCCTCCGCCCCCACCCCTGTACCTGGCCCCATGTTGGTGGCCTCAACCCTTCCAGTTGCAATTCCCCAGAATGAAACTGTAAATCATGTGTCCTGGAGAAAGCCCTGTGCTTTCACTCTCAGGCAAGAGAGGACTGTTTGTACTCAGCAGCAGCAAATCCTCTCCAGGGTGGATTTTGACTTTTAGGAGGTGTGATGTTGGGTCTGATTTCAAATAACAATGTATGAAAACAACTACAGTGCTTTAAACTCCCTACAAGGTTCAACCTCACAATGACTCCCTCTCTTCCCATACTGTCCGCCAAGCTTCAGGGCACAAGAGATTTTTCCTAATGTTCCAGAGTACCAAAGAATTTCCTGGCCACCAGCCACAGAGCCATGTCCAAGTCTCTCTTTATGTTGCTCGGATATATTCTCTCCATTTAAAGAATCAATACTATAAATCCTTGGGTTTCCAGAGGCCTATGTTAAAAGCATACTTTATTCTGGTAGTAAAGAAAGAGAATCCAAGCAGAAAGAGAGCAAAAAGAAGTGCCAGTTATTATTATTCATAAAATATTGTGATTGGCCTGTAGTATAATCGCCAAATTAAACTCAGCCAACATTTTCTGAGCGTGAATGTGGGGTTTGTGAGAGTCGGGTTAGTCCACTTCACTATCCCTTCCACTTCACTGTGAGCTCCAAGACTTTACAAGATAGGTTACAGATGATATCATTACAGAAGACATCAACTTGATTTTTTTTAATGAATCGATATGTAGCTAAAATACCACCACACACCTATTAAAGTGGTTCAAATCCAAACACTGACACTACCAAATACTAGAGAAAATATGGAGCAGCAGGAACTCTCGTTCATTGTTGGTGGGAATGCAAAACGGCACAGCCACTTGGGAAGACAGTTTGCCAGGTTCCTCCCAAAACTGAACAAACTCTTACCATAAGATCCAGCGACCGTGGTATTGACCCAAAGGAGTCATCAACGTAATGTTCACACAAAAACCTGCACATAGGTGTTTACAGAAGCTGTATTCATAACTGCCAAGACTTGGAAGCAACCAAGATGCCACTCAGTAGGTAAATGGATAATCTGTGTTTGATCCAAACAGTGGAATATTATCAGCACTAAAAAGAAATGAGCTATTGAGCCCTGAGAAGACATGGAGGAAACATAAGCCACATATACTACATGAAAGGAGCCAATGTGAACTGGCTATACGTTGTGTAGCCAGCAATATAGAGACAGTAAAAAGATCAGTTATGGGGCAGTGGGGGCATATGGACGAATAGGCAGTGCATTAGAGTTTTGCAGGGCAGTGAAAATAATTAAATAATTTGTAAAACACCATAGTGATCAATACAGATTAGACATTTGTCCAAACTCATTGAAAGTAGGGCATCCTAATGTGAACTGTGAACTGTGGGTGTTGATAGTGGGGTGCAGTGTTGATAGTGGGGGAGGCTGTGTTTGGGGGAAGGGTTAGGGAGGTTAAATGGGAACATTCTGTTCTTGGTTTAATTTTGTTACGAACCTGCTCTAAAAATACAAGTTGATTTTTTAAAGACAAAGGAAAAATGTTCAAATAAAGTTAAATCAGAGGTTGTTTACTCTAGTATATGGGTGGGCCTTATAATGGGGGTAACTGGACAATGAGTTGGTGCTGGAGGTGACCAGATGGTCAGGCTATCTGTGTCCCTGTGACTCAGAGGACAAGCAAGTGGCAATGATTAGGCTTAAAGCATCCCCCAAAGGTCTAAGGTTCACTTCACACCTGCATCTCACAGGGCAGGCAGTAGCAATGTCAGGGTATAGTTTGGGACTTTTAAGGGAGGTTCAGGAACTAGCGCCCCCTAGTGTTGGTCAAAGGGCACAAACTTCCAGTTACAAGAGAAGTTCTGAGGCTCTGATGCTCAGCATGGGGACAACAGTTGACAGCGGACTGTATTATATTCCAAAAGTTCCTAAGAGGGTAGATCTTCAATATTCTCATCACAAAACAAAAAAGGTAATTATGTGATGGGATGGAGGCATTAGCTTCCACTAACCATCTTGCAATATATGTGTCAAATTAACACACCGTACCTTAAATAGTGGCACTAAGACCTGTCACTTCTATCTCAACAAAGCTGGAAAAAGAGAACTAGCACCCCCTTTGCCTGCCCAAAGTTTGCACCAACCTATATGTAAGACAAAAGGCTAAGTAAGGCAGATGAGAGCAGATATCACCTTCGTTACAGTTAAAGCTGCTACTGGAGAAGGTAGCTTATACTGGCAGGCACGAGGCCTCCTCACTTTGAACCACAGAAGGACTTAGCCACCCAGGGCGCTGGAAACTGCACCCCGACGTGGTTCACTCCCACCTGCTTCCAGGAGGCAGAGGAGCACAGGGGTCAGGGTCGCGCATGCTCATTCGTCCTTCCCAAACTGGCAGTCAGTTGAACAAGTCCACCTTCCCAAGGTTCAGCGTATGAAAGGTGAAGGGCTGTGGGAGTGGATGCAGTAAGAGATACCCCACCATCTGAGAAAGGCATCTGAGAGGGGCAAAGTACAGACCAGATGAATAGCACGTGGCCTCCTGCAGAAATTCCAAAGGTTACATTTTCTCCCATTTTTCTTTGTTTCAGATACATTGAGCATTACTTGGAGGAATTTTTAACATCTGCCAATAGATACTTCATGGTTGGCCACAAAGTCATATTTTATATCATGGTGGATGATGTCTCCAGAATGCCTGTCATAAAGCTGAGTCCCCTGCGGTCCTTGAAAGTGTTTGAGATCAAGCCCGAGAAGAGATGGCAGGACATCAGCATGATGCGCATGAAGACCATCGGGGAGCACATCGTGAGCCACATCAAGCATGAAGTGGACTTCCTCTTCTGCATGGACGTGGACCAGGTCTTCCAAGACAGCTTTGGGGTGGAGACCCTGGGCCAGTCAGTAGCTCAGCTGCAGGCCTGGTGGTACAAGGCCGATCCCGACGAGTTCACCTATGAGAGGCGGAAGGAGTCCGCCGCCTACATCCCTTTTGGCAAGGGGGATTTCTATTATCACGCTGCCATTTTTGGAGGCACCCCAAATCAGGTCTTAAATATCACACAGGAGTGCTACAAAGGAATCCTGCAGGACAAGAAAAATGACATAGAGGCCGAGTGGCACGATGAAAGTCACCTAAACAAGTATTTCCTTCTCAACAAACCCACTAAAATCTTATCCCCGGAATACTGCTGGGACTATCATATAGGCCTGCCTTCAGATATTAGGATTGTCAAGATATCTTGGCAGACAAAAGAGTACAGTTTGGTTAGAAATAACATCTGACTTTTAATTGTGCCACATGAAAAACACCTCTGGAGGAGAAAGATCCCTCCTCCCTTAAATAGGCTGGGCTTCTGAATTGGAGAACTACTGGCTACTTCATCAGAAGAGTAACCCTTAATCTAATTCTTCAAATACTAACAACACTTCGAAGCTTGTAGCACAGAGAAGGAATGGTAATCAGCTGCAAAGACAAAGCCAGAACCGGTCTTCATGTACCAGATAATGTACTGGGGGAAAGGGTGCTGGGAAGTGTTTGGCAACAAGAGACAATGGTGGGGGATGGCCCCTTGGTTTCAACACCTTCTGGTCTTGCTGAGACTAAAGCAACAGAGAGCTGCCCTGCAGCCTGAGAACTCTTTGCTGGGACACACTCTACCCCGGCTCTCCTCAGATGGTTTCCATGGGAGATTGCTGGCTCCAGGCCATTTATAGCTCATGTCCTTTTCCTGGTGGGGTGTTGTTTGGCTTCTATGGAAAGGATGGTTGAGATTCCCAGTGGAGATCATGATGGCAAATGCTGGGAGTTGCAGGGACGCTGCATGAACCAGCAGGTGCTGTGTGATGTGAAAACAATGCCTCAAAGTGAGTTGGCCATGAAATCACAAAGGAGAGTGGAGAGAGAGGGGATTGATCTCCGAGGCCAGTGCCACCTCAGAGGGGCACAGGGGGTGCACTTCAGTGCATCGTGGACCCAGATTAATGGAAGGCAGCATGGGTCATCTCCAGCCTTCTCTGTCCTGTGACTACTAGAACAGCCGGGACTGAAATAGAAGATACTTCTTGTTCTGCCCGACTCATATTCAGTGTGCAGACTCTCAACTGTATCTTCAGATCCTAGGCCAGAGATAGTGGATGTGTCCCAGATGAATAAGGTTTGCAGTGAGTTGAAGAGATTTGCAAGGATTTACAATTTCCAGACCTGGGCTTCCTGGTGTTCAGTCACCCTGACCTGCACTTCATGATGACCAGTGGTCAGCAAGTCCTGCCACCTGCTCTAACTCTCAGGATCTCAGCTCATCCTGCCCTACCTGGAAGGCTGGTGTCAAGGAATGTATTGGAGGAAAACCCCTCCCATCAAGGAATCAAGTAACCTCTTATTTTCCACTGCCCCCTCTGCACCAGGGATGCCTAACAACCAGATAGATGCCTATAATAAAGGCAATTAGCCATTTCAAAATTAATTAGTCATTTTTTAATTAGCCATTTAAAAAAGGCTAATTGCCTTTATTACAAAGACAGAGGGGCTGGCCATTGGAGACCCAATCCTCACAACTGAATAGCTTAACATTCAATTCCCTTCTCTAAGAGAAGCGATGCCATCCTACATGTTCTTTAAAGTCAAGTGATTTGCTGTAAAGGAAGTCAGAGGGCCTCATCTGCATCTGCAGGTATCTTTCCATTTTGTTTGTGTTTCAGGTGAGGTCACTTGTTTCCCTTTTCAAGCGATTTGTCAAAAGAGCCATCACACTGGCTTGCTGTGTAGCACAGCTTCTTCCGTAAAGTGAAACCTGCATTTTTCCTTCCCTCTCACGGTGCCTCCCACTTTTCAATTCTTGCCAAAAAATGTGACAACCCAGAAAATAAAACACAATCAACAGAAATCCTGAAGAAGGGGACTTTGTGAAAGGAAAGAGGAGACCACTGTTAGCAGAACCCAGCCATTTTTCAGCAGTGGGAGCCGGGAGGAGTGGTGGTGTTTTCAACCTGCTGCTCCACCACAAGCTGGTGGTGGCAGTTGCTGCTCAGAGCCCTTTTATGTAAAGCGCACTTCCTGCATTGTGAAAGGTGCTATGGGCTGACTGGTAGATGGTCCAGGATTGAAAAATGGTCCAATCAGACTTGTGGGCAAGGCACCCTGAAAGAGGATATAAGCCAGGGCTGGAGGGAGCCAAGGGGGACGACAGGACCCCAGCTCCCAGAGAAGACGAGATGCCGCCAGCCCTGAAGAAAAGAGGACAGTTCCAGCCTCTGAAGAAAGAAGAAAAGAAACATCTAGCAGCTGCTCTCCGAGGAGGGAAGAAAAGCCAAAGGATTCTGTCACAGACTGGGCCTCGATCCTGTCTCTGCCCTGGACCTGGTGTCTCAAAGAGCTGTCTGTTGTTGGTATGACCCAACAACTCACAAAGAGCTGTTAACCCTGGGTGTCTGACACCGCCTCTGTGAGACCAGTAGTGGCCATCACTGCTGGCTAGTGCTGTCCAGCCCTCCTGGCGACTGGTGGCGACCATCACTGATGCTACCTGGGTGGGATAGCTGCCACTTGTGGGTACAGTAAGCTCTTTGTTTCCCCCCTTTGTAAAATAAACCCCATAGTTGTTCCTATAGCCTAAGGTCTCCTGTAATTGTGCACACTGGTGAGAACCCACAGACAGTGACCTGTCCTTTTATCAGGCACTGTCCTTTGCTAGGCTATAGCTTTTGGGTTTTGGTCTTTTGGGGCTTTTTGGTGGCTCTCTGTTCTCAGAGCCTGGGCATGCAGGTGGCTGTTCCATCCATCCAGCCTCCTGCCCTGTGGCCTCTCTTGTGGCCCTCTCCGCCCTTGTTTACAACTACATCAGTTAAGTCTCTTGTTTCTCTATGACCCTGGTTTTCTGGGGTCCACCCCAGAGTAGGGAGAGTTCATGGTTTAAGTTCTGAACCAAAGAAATTATCTACTCTAAAATATTAAGAGAAAAATGCTGTATTTCCTTTTGAGGGACATTAGGCTATAGGAACAACTCTTGAATTGCATTTAAATTTAAATCCTAAATGGACAAAAGATTTCCTTCAATATTCCTGATTCACAATTGAATAAATTATTTTCTCAGTATACTCTGGTTCTGGTAATGGATTGTGCATTTCCTCCTAAAGATGTTGAAAATGTTGCTGATAGAACTTGAAAATCTTGGGTGTTAAAAAGTCCTGGCACCTTCCTGAAAGTGTGTCCACTGATACAAAGAGAAAAAGCCATATAGCTGAGATTTCAAAACGTGTAAAACAACCAGTGCTTATAGAGAGCTTTCCACAGTGATGCTCTGCCAGTGGAAGAGGTGGAAAAGGATTGTCTCAAAGCCAGGCAGGGCAAGGGAGGCAGCAATGCCGTGGAGCATCTGGGGGTTACTAATCCTGTCTCTGGAAAATGTCTGGATGTCCAGCAGGCAGGTGTATTTGTAATAAATATGACAACTAAAGATGGCCAGGCTGATGCAGGGAGGTACACTGGACATAAACAGAGCATGACTTTCACATTGTATAGATGAGTAAGGTGAGGTTCAGAGAGATTAAGCCACCAGCTGGGAAGTGGCTGAGCTGAGGCTCACAGCTTAGAAGCTAACAAGGAGAAATGTGTCAGTACCCAATACCATGCACAGGTGGGGGGCTATTCATAGCAAGGTAAATGCAACTTGATAGAAGAATCTTCTAAAGTGGCATTTTTTGCCATAAGGAAGAATATTTTAAAAACTGTGCCAAAATATATAGAAGAAAATATAGGTAAAACACTACAAAGCATACATCGCAATAACATCTTTAAAGACTCATCACCCAGGGCCTCCCTGGTGGAGCAGTGGTTGAGCGCTGGGTTGCAAAGCTGCCCGCAGCCTCTGCAGTGCCGGTTCGATCCCCGGCTGCTCCCTGGCCACCGAAGGAGGGTCCCACATGGAGCGCAGACCTCTCCTGCCGCCCACTGCTCCCCTCAGCAGTGTACTTCGGTCCTTCTGCCTGCTCTGCTCCCCGCTCTGGCTCTGGTGAATTCTCTCACCCTCCACCCTTCTGACTGTACCCAGTGCTTGTATAAATAAATCCTTAAAAAAAAAAAAAAAAAGACTCATCACCCAAACCAAAGAAAGTCAAGGAAAAGGTAAACACCTGGGATTACATCAAAATGAAAAGCTTCTGCACATCAGAAGAGACATTAACCAAAACAGAGAGACACCCCACTGATTGGGAAAAAATCTTTGCACTCCAGTCAACTGATAAGGGACTGATCACAAAGATATACAAAGAACTCACAAGACTCAACAAAAACAAAATAAACAACCCAGTCAAGAAATGGGCAGAAGAACTTAAAAGACATTTCTCCAAAGAGGAAATGCAAATGGCCAACAGGCATATGAAAAAAATGCTCAACATCACATATCATCAGGGAAATGCAAATCAAAACCACACTGAGATACCATCTTACACCAGTGAGAATGGCACATATTAAAAAAACAAGCAACAACAAATATTGGCGAGGATGCGGTGAAAAGGGAACTCTCCTACATTGCTGGTGGGAGTGCAAACTGGTCCAACCACTGTGGAAAGCTGTCTGGAGGTTCCTCAGTCTACTAACAATGGAGCTACCATATGACCCGACAATTCCACTCCTAGGGATCTACCCAAAGGGCACAAAAACATTGATTCAAAAGAACACCTGTACCCCTATGTTTATTGCAGCACTATTTACAATAGGTAAAACCTGGAAACAACCCAAATGCCCAAATATAGATGACTGGATCAAGAAGATGTGGTCTATATACACCATGGAATATTATTCAGCAATCAAAAAAGATAAACTCATGCCATTCGCAGCAACATGGATGGAGCTAGAAGGAATTATGCTCAGTGAAATACGCCAGAAGGAAAAATAAAAATATCGGATGGTTTCACTTATAGCAGGAATATAGGGGAACCAAATAAGACATCAGTGCAAAAAAATAATAACAGTACAAAACACAACAAAGCAAAAATGGACAATTATAAACCAGAGACATCCTGCAGGGGAGGAGGAGGAAGTGGGATCAGAGGGAGGGAGGGAGGAGCACAGGGGACTGAGGTGATGGTGCACGGGTGCATTGGTGAAGGAAACTCTATGGGGACTACACCTGGGGGGGTGGGGGGAACAAATTTTGTTTAAAAATGAACAATGATGTAAAAAATTAAAAACAATTAAAAAAAGAAAGAAAAAACCAAAAATAGTCAGGCAGGTCATGTGTGAATCAACCTAGGCAGTACAGGATTTAAGGGCATGAGTGGTCTACTAAGGCTTTTTTAAAAAATAAACCAGTTAAAGCTTAAAAAAAAAATTTAAAAACTAAATGTTCCCAGGCCTGTATTAGTTTCCACCTTTAATGCCCTAAACCTACCTCAGATGTATTAAGATTGTTAAAATGGATTCTGGGGTGGGGGGGGAGACGACATGATCGTTTTTATCTTCACATTGCTTACGCTGGGCAGACGTATGCCTGGGCACTCACTGGTCTGTCATACACTGAGGGTGTATCTCATACACTGAGGGTGTGATTGGCAGAGGGCGCTGGTGCAAAGGACAGTCACTCTACCTCTGCGGCAGCTGGAAGGTGAGGTTGCTCTGAGGCCTGAAGAGCCTGACTTCTCTTGTCCCACCAGGAATGACACATCTTGATCTCTCCTGCCCATTTGATTTCCTAACAGGGGAACCTTAGCTGAGGCAATACTTACCGCTACTAGTATTTGTTAAGTGCACTATTTATTAAATGTATTATGGAAGTGAGTAATGCCAGCATGATGGTATACTCGTGAGAGTGAAGCACAGAAAGACGGAATGCATAACATAAAAGGTCTACTGATTTTTAAGAAAACAGAAGTGGGGGATCCATTGGTGATAGCCTCAGATCCAAAAGGATTTAGAGCAACGATTCAGCCCCAGGACTGCCCAGCTGGCCCTAAACCTTTGCTCTCGCCACAGCTCGAGTCGGCTTCCCTCACTCTCTCCCACACGTGGGCGTGCACACACACATACTTTAACCATCTTGATTTTGAAATGTGAGGACACCAGAGGGATCACCATCAGAAGCTCCCCATTCCTTTATTAGGCATCAAAGAGAACTTAGTAGCCCCAAAACTCTTCAAAGGTGAATGCTGATCTAAGCCATCACACAGCCAAACTGGAGAAGGAGCCCCCAAAACCGGAGCGATGCAAGGCACAGGGACGTTCCAGGGCTAAGGGAATGTGGAGGAGCAAAGGGTGGGGAGGTAGAAATATCCGTGGAGACGCTGACTCTGCATGGGACTTTGAAAGAAAAGTAGTGGTCGCTGTGAGGATGAGGTGGAATGAGAGCTCCGCGGGAGAAGCAGCAGAGGAAGCGCTCAGAGGACTGTGGGGAACTGGTGCCAAGCCTCAGGCCAGGATGGGACCACCTGGTGGCATCAGTGTGACCAGCACTACAGGCCCTGTGAGCACTGTGGAGGGTCAAGAACTCCTGGGCTCCTCTTGGCAGTCCACGTGACTATGGAAACTGATGCCAAGGTTGGAGCAAGTGATCCAGGTCAGCCAGTCAGCATTTCCACGCCCACTTGGTGGCGATGACCGATTCAGGGGTGAGTGGGTGACCTAAACTAAATCACAGTGAATCGCAAGACTTGCACTAGAAAGCACATAATACTGGGAGCTGCTAACACTTTTGGGGACCACACGGGAAGTCAGCTTTAGGGTGAAAATGACAATAGACAGAAAAAGCAGGGACAGGTTTCTCTAATTGAAAGGTTATTTCTGCTAAAAATCACAATACTGGGTAATGCCCCCAATTTTCATTCTTCTAAGGGAGTGATCAAAGCTTATTAGCCTGCAGTGTCTTAGGAAGGCCTGTCCTTCAGATGATTATGCAACCTCAGTGTTTCAGTTAAAGATATTACGGTTGCAAGGAATAGACAGCCCCTGTGAGCACCTCAACCTGAAAGGGAGGTTGCTGCGAGATTACTGGAGAGTTCTGCTGAACACAAGGGAGACTTAACAACCAGACAGCGGTGTCACTTCAAGTTGATTCATGCCTACTTACGAGAGCCTGCTGTGGGCAGCACGCCCCACGCTCCCATACCGCGGCAGCTGGATATCAGCCATGGTGGGAGCATTTATACTTTGGGGATCAGCAACACTAGAAGTCAGGGCTCTTTTTCCTTCTCTTCCCTTCTAATCTTTCTTTTCTAGGAGTTGACTGTATAAAACTACACCAGCACATCACTACACCTGCTCCATGAGCAAGAGCCTGAGAAGTTCAAGAGCTTTAACAGCTGAAAATTATGAACTTCCCCTAGAGGTCTGCCAATATGACCCAGCTCCAGGTATCTCCAGTCTTAGGGTTTCTTCCTTCAAAACTCTGAGTTCCTGGAAAAGATAACCCAAATGGCACACATCCATTCATGCTCCTGTGCTGAGGGGTAGGTCTACTGGGGCACCCTCGGGCAATTCTTCAAGAAGGGTTATTGTTGTGAGCTGGGTAGTCACATCTAAAAGTGTCTACCCTGTTCCACTCGCAGCTCTCTGACTGTGGACCACCTTCCCCATCTATCTAAACTATTCCCTTTCACCATGACCCAAGAGTGCTATGAACTGGACGAGTATAGGCCTCTCTCCTAATAGCAGAGCACAGAAACACAGGTAATGTGGAGGGCCAGACTCTTCCGTCTACTATCTCAGATATCAATTGGTTCTCCTTTGGTCCCTTAGAGAACCCATTTGACTAATGTTTACTCTATGAAATAAATGGTCAATTTAGCTCCTAAACACAGTAGAGTTGATAGTAAGAGACAAGGGAGGAAAAGACTATTGTAACTCCTATTCACTAGGAGTGGCTGCACTGAGCAGGTAACCATCAGTGGCTTTTCCTTGCTCTCGAATTCAAAGGGTCTCCACTGTACACTTTCTATCAAGGCTTGTCTTTGGACACTCTGCACTATGTAGACATGACTGTCAGAAAGAGGCCAATGGCAGAGCAGTTTACCTACAACCTGAATGCTTCCTCTGGTGGGTCCCACAGGAAGCTCGCTGCTTTTACATGTTATCAGGCAAATGGAGAGCAAATACTGATGCCTGGTTCTGATCCCAGAGATTCTGATTCAACTGTATCAGGCTGGCAGTGAGACGTTTAAAGGCTTCCCAGTAGAGACTATTTTCCTGGAAAAGCTTGGGGCTTTAGCTTTTATGCTAAGGTTACAATACATTTTGAATGAACTTTGGCGTGAAATATAAACAACAACATGGTTGAGTCACAAAACCTGGCTGTGAAAAAAAAGACACAAAGCATGGGTGCTGTATAAATCTGTTTCAATGAAATTCTACAGCAGGGACAGCTCAGCTCTGGCCATAGAAATCAGATTTCCTGGATGGGGGAGGGCAGAAACTCAAAGGGTCACAAGAAAAGTGATCGTGGGAATGGTCTAAACTGGCTTTACACACATGTACACATGTGAGAAATGTGAGGCCTAAACTGCATGTGTTTTAATCTATGTAAGTCATACTTCAATTAAAAATGTATTTTAAAAAATCCCCAATAAGCTTACATAAATCAACATTACTTCAATAAATATAACTTTAAAGAGTAAATAAAAATCCCCAGGGAAAGAAAGGAACTTAATCCTATTTCTTTTTAAATGAGAAAGAATCTAGTTCCCTGGTAAAGACAAAGAGAAGTGACTGGGAAATGAATTGTTATGATTGCAAATACCTAATTCTTTCATCATCAAAAGAGAATCTGATGACATCATCATTCATAGCAGACTGAAGTAATAAACACACAGATTGGAGAACACCATAGAACCAATACTATGCCACGTGATTCATGATTTTCAAAGGTCTCATAATGTCCCACTCAAAATGGTCCACCCTTTTGAGATTCTCCACACATCTTCCCAAACCATTACACCATAAATGGGAAATCTCCAAGGATGAAGCCATATAAAATTCCTATGTGGTCTTAGGAAGACAAAAGGTAAGAATTTGTCCTTTATTTCAATCAACTTATACCATATACAACTGCAAATATCACAAAGGAGTTGGGTAAACTTGATGGCTGAAATACCAAAAGAAATGGACAAATAATCTAAAAAACTATAATTTAGCTTCTAGTCAAGTGCTCTGAATTAATTTTCCATTCAAACACTTTTGAGAAGAACATATTTTATGCTATTATCACCTTTTTTGGAATGATCAATTTCATATTATTATTTAATTAAAAATAATCAAAATTTCCTTCATAGTTATACACTCGTTGGAGTCCAAGTATTTTCATAATTATCTCTTCGCAGACTCTACTGCCCCTTCCCCCACCCTATAAATTAGACTGGAAAGTGGCATTGGTGCTTTTTCTTCTGTAGGAAAAGTCCTTTGTACTTTAGAAGAAACCAGAGAAGGTTCTAAGATCTCCTGCATCAAGGCCAGTGAGGATTTGGGGTGCTACCTGTGACACAGTATCTCCATAGCCTCAACCTATTTTCATATAGAGACATCCAAGCACCAGAGGGGGCCTTCAATCCTGGCCAAATCTTTTAAATCATCTGGTTTAAGTCATGGAGAGGCTGGAACCATCATTGCTTACACTGCAGACATTGTGTTTTAATCTATTTTCATCTTTTTCTTCTTCCTCTCAGGGAAGAATGAGATACAAAAGAATAATTCCATTGTTAATGCTTTTACTGCTTCTATGGGCTTTGCATAAAAAGCATCATTTCAGGTAACTTTAAAACACTAATGAATATATTCTTTGGGTGTTTGGTAAGGATCTGGTTATGTCAGGAAGGTATAATACTCACCCCTGAATAAATGAGCATCCAAATGTATCAATCCAAGCATATCCAAATATATTAACATAAACATAGCCTTCCACATAAAAGATCTTAGTTGCTAATGGGTTTAATGCTAACAGGTCCACATAGGAGAGGCAATGTCAAGCTCCTAAGACAGTTACCATGTAAACCCAGCAGTTGATGGTTGTAAATGTTAGAGAGAAACTGCCATTTTTAAATAGGTGGCATCTTCTTTAAGAAAATCCTTAATGTCTGTGACTTCAGGCACAATCTTTAGCATATCCCTCTGGGTATCTGAGATAAGTAGAAAGACTTTCTTGGCAATTAACAATTTCACTGTTCTAATGATAATACGTAAGCTCTTTAATGTGCATTTCAAAGAATTAGGGTATTTCTTTTAAGATATACTTATGAGGTACTTAACTGTGGTGGTTTTTAATGTGTTCATATTATATTTCTAGAGCCAACGACATATTTGATACAAAGTATGTGTCTCAGTCCATTCGAGCTGCTATAACAAAATAACACAGACTAGGTGGTTTATGAACAACAGAAATTTTGTTTTTCACAGTTCTAGAGGCTGGAAAGCCCAGGATGCAGGCAGAGGCGGTGTCTTGTGAGGGCACACTTCCTGGTTCCAGATGGCTGTATTCTAGCTCTGTGCTTGTGTGATGGAATGGGAGAGGGAACTCTCTGGAGTCTTTTATATTTTTCATCCTTGGAGGCTCCACCCTATGACCTATTACCTCCTAAAGACCCACTGGCCAATGCCACCACCTTGGGGGTTAGGATTTCAACATGTAAATTGGGGCCCAAACATTCTGTCCATAATATTTTGTGTTCACTAAATATTTGTTAATATTAGGTAATAAAATTATGTAATTAAATGAATGGGTTGATGGAGTATAACTTCAGTGATCTATAATATAGAAACTCTTTATATAAGTTTTAAAGTAATATAATACTTTTTATTTCTCCTAAGACCAAAGAAACTGCAGCGAGTATATCAGTGCTGGTAAGTATTTACAAATATAACTCTTCTTTGAGGACAGGACTAGCTGGAAGACAAGGCCTTGGCTCCTGCAGGGGGGGGCAAACCAAAGCAATTTCACAAACAAAAGTTGCAAATGTTGAAGGTCAGAGCAGTAGCAGTTGAAGAAAGGGCAGGCTAAAGGGACCATCTCTGAGGGAGAAGCCAGAACTGGGTAAGAGGACATGATACAGGAGAACACAGACAAACAACCAGGAGTAAAGTCCTGGCTAAAAGACTCAGGAGATTACATTAAGCACATGCCGTCTACAAAACCAGGCCAAAAATCAGAATGTGTGCAGAGACGAAAATTTCATTAGATAGCGCAAGAGCCAACATCATAATATGTTCTTCAATCTCTCCCTCCAGTCATAGGAGCCCACACAGTGAAGTGAAGGCAATTTCCCTTTCTGATGCTTGTTGTGTCCAGGGGCCTCATCTCTGATGCTTCTATGATGTACAACCGCCCCACTAAAATTGTGACTCCATACTTCAGGGAGCTGTGCTATGCCTGAAAATAATATAGCAAGAAGGGTTTCATGTAGTAGGCACAGTGCGTTTCCCTTGGACATGCTTTGGTTAAGAGAGGAGGCAGTAATGTCCAGCCACCTGAAAAAAGCAGGACCAGCCCTGGGCAGAGGAAGGAGCATTCCAGGAAGGTGCTGCGGCAGAGGCTGGGAGCAGGAACTGATTAACATGTTGTCCGGCAAAATGTATTCAATGTAGAACCATTTAGCAAGCATTCTATTGTCAATGTCAGTTCTCCTGACCACCGGATGCCTTAACATACTAAGCCCGCTGGTCCAAAGGCATCGCTGTCCATGGCAGCAGGTGCTTGGATAGAAGGCCCTGTCTCAGTCATACCCAACATTGTGGTCATGCCTACCTGTGTACACAGAGATGTTTCAGAGGTAAACCAGCAAGGTTTAGGGGTGGCGTTGGGATTTTGAGGTCTATGAGTATAGACTGACTTATAGTTCTGCCTTGACAAATCAAATGAATCCAGTGAGCAAAAGCAACAGAGGAAGAGAAACTACTTTAGAGATGAGATTCTGACTTTAACATTAAGGATCTTCATTTTGTGGTGTCTGTACAAAATCCAAGTAGAAGACTTCAAAATACCACTGAATATACAAGTTTAAATCATGGGAGGAATGAGGATGTACATAAAACACTCTACAGGAAAATGTCCAGAAGAGAAGCAAGCGATCAGACAGAGAAGCTACTCTAGGAAAAATGATCACATCAAGGCTCGTGAGAAAACAAGATGTTTCAGGCTGACCTCTGACAGAAAGCAGGGACAGATTTCCATTGTACCAGAAGGAAAAGGAGATTGGCCGCGCAGGTAAACTTGGAAGTGAACTGGCAGAACACTGAGGGAGTTTTCCTCTGATGGCTGCCATTTTCTTTGTGAATGAGAAGAATGAGAGAACTGTGGAAACACAAAGACTTCTGGGTGGCAGAGTCAAGCTGAGGTTGGAAATGATGGTTTTTCCATGCCACCACCATCAAAGTTCAGTGTGGGCTTGGCTTTATTAATTTCCCACTTATCTTGCATTGACACCTCATTACAGTATAATCCACACTTGATAGGCACTCAGTGACCTCAAATGCAGTACATAGAATGTGATGCTTTGTGTTATTTTTCCTGATAGGTCTATGAATGATCAACCAGCAGAACTACAGATATCAGACTGGTATAGTCCCAAGTAAGAATTTTAAATCCATGTGGGATGAATCTTCAATGTGCTCAGTAGAAGCTAGGAAGTGGCAATAATACCACGACTGACATTCTGAACACGGGCATGTTGATGGATCTTTGATTACATTTTTTAAAATAGCAGTGTCCAAGCCACATGGGGACTAAATATTAGGACCTACATCCTTCAGGAAAGAGTTTAGATGCTAGAACTCAAAGGTCGTAGTGACGGCAAGGGAAACGTGTAAGCATTTGTTTGATTTATTTAGTGACCAGTCTTGTATCACCAAACCCAAATGAAGTTCTTTATGCACCTCATTCTTTTATATAACAGCTTTTCTGTGGCCCCTCTGCCTCCATCTACCTATCCAACTACCCTGCACCCCGATGCTTCAGGATGTAAGGACTTCTCTTAATTAAAACACTGACAGGAGACATCCAGGGAAGAACATGATAAGATAATGGTCCCTAATTCATCCTCCCATAATATCACATATGTCAGAGTGTAATCAGAACACAGAAAGTGCACCAGTGCTCTAAAAAGGGAATTTAATATACAGAATTGTATAAAGTTGTTAACTAGATGACTTGAAAGACCAAAAAGAAAACTCAGGTGTCATAGAGGGAACAACTATAGGAAGTAGATATATCCCCTAAGTCTGGACAAACAAAAGAAAGAGGCTGGGATTATTAAACCTGGAAACTTAGAGAAGAAGCTCATCAAGCTTAAACCTGATGCCGCTCAACATGCCCAGGTGTGTCTGCGCCCCACAGAGGCCTCTAGGGGCAGGGAACTAGGGGTTAAGCACCACACTGTGAAGCAATCCACAGCCTCTGCAGCATGAGTTCAATCCCGGCCAGCCAGGGAGGTGACCCACATGGCGCAGCAGACCTCTCCTGTCTCACCCGCTGCTCCCCTCAGTAGTTTATTTTAGTCGGTATGCCTGTTCTGTTCCCCACTCTGTCTCTGGTGAATCTTCTCACCCCCCTGCATCTCTGGCCTGCACCCCAGCTATTGTATGCATGAATAAATAAAATCTTTAAAAAAAAAAAAAAAAAAAACGTGCAAGGAGGGGCACAGCAAGACCGGTTTCGCAAGTGTGGGTAAAACTGAAAACTCTTTTCAATTGCTACAGCAGCTGAGGAACCACTACTGCCGTGGCGACAACACATGGCTGGAATGGGACTTGCAAGAACAAGATGCAGACAAGAAACCCAGAGAAACAAGAAAGAGCAAGTTCCTTTCTCCCCCAGCCTTGAAATTTTTCTCCAGTGCCCTCTCTAAGCAGAGCCTAACCTGCTGGCAAAGGAGAAATGTGGTTTGCAGAGGCCCAGGCCAGCACAGTAAAGCTGAGTCTAGTGTGGAGGGTTTAGTTATGAAAGGCATACTTAAGAACTGCCACACTTCCCACTACAATACACCACAAGGCAAATGTGCATAATTCAGGGCGACGGTTCATCCCAGCAAGTGCACAATGGAGAAAACCACACATGTTTTCACACCCAAATACTGGGGATGAAATACAGGCTACTGGTAAACTTCAATTCCCACCACTGCACTGGTAGGAAGGGCGTATATTTTAAAACAACATAAATTATTTTTCTTCCATTTCTAAAGGCTGAAGTTCAAAGATCAAGGTGGCAGCAAGTTAGATTTCTCCTGAGGCCTCTCTCGTTGACTGCCATAGTGGTCTTCCTGCTGTGTCCTTACCAGGCCTCTGCTCTGTGCACACACAGCCCTGGTGTTTCTGCCTCTTCTTGTAAGGACACCAGTTCTATGGGATTAGGGCCCCACCCGCATGACACAATTTAAACTTAAATACTTCTCTAAATGCCCTATCTCCCAATAGTCACATTAGGGATTCCGGCTTCAACATAGGAATTTGTGGGAGACAATTCAATTCGTAAAACTTCTGAAATAATTAATAGAACCTTTCATCTAATGCACTTCAGTTCCATTGCATTTTTCATTTTTTTTCCTTGATGACCATTGAGGTTGAACACCTTTTCATAAGAATATTGATCCCTTGGCTATTTACTTTTGTAAAATGTCAATTCACATCTCTCCCCCACCATTCCCACTGGATTTTTTTTTTTTAAGATTTATTTATTTATTCAAGAACTGGGTACAGTTAGAAGCGAGGGAGGGTGAGAGAATTCACCAGAGCCAGAGAGGAGAACAGAACAGGCAGACTGATGAAATACACTGCTGAGGGGAGCAGCGGGCACGGCAGGAGAGGTCTGCACGCCTTGTGGGACCCTTGCCGGTGGCCGGGGATCAAACCGGCACTGCAGAGGCTGCAGGCAGCTTTGCAGCCCAGTGCTCAACCACTGCACCACCAGGGGAGGCCCCCATTGGATTGTTTTTCTTACAGATTTGAAGGCAGTGTCTTTATATTTTAGATACAATCCCAGTGTCAGTTAGATATTATGGAATTCTCTCTGTAGCTTATGTTTTTTTTATTGAGGTGAAATTCATGTAACATAATATTCACCATTTAAATAATTTAAAAATATACAGTTCAGTGGCTCTTAGCATCCTCACAATCTTGTTGTGTAACTCTCACCACAATCTTGTTGTGTAACTCTCATCAATTCCAGGATAGCTCCACCACCCTATGGACTGAAACATGATCCCAGAACTAGTGATAATTAGACAGTTTATTAGATAAACTAAAGTAAGGCTTCAACAAGAACAGTCTGACAGATTTTACTCTGAGACAGGTGAAGTCTCGGCATCTTGGTGACCTTCCCTGAGCAGGCATCTTGCCCTGAACACACGCATGGGTTTTTCAGCAATTCGTTATCCACAGCATCATGTGAGGGCCCTATTACCGACAGAATGCTCTTCCAAACTTTTCCTCCCAGGATGTTGACGGGAGGAAAAGTTTGGAAGAGCATTCTGTCAGTAAATCTGGTACTTATCCTGATTAATCTTTAGCCCCAGGTAGCAAGTGCTTTTTCCTTTTTAAAATATTTTCCAGGGATGCCTTCCTCTTAACCATGTGCCCATTTTGAGAGCATTTTGAGTTACATGAAACACGGGAAAACTCAATGTGTCAGTCCCTCAGGGAACTCTCAGGTCAAAACAGTTCCTTGGAAATTAGCTCCACTCCCTCCAGAATCAGTCAGCCACAGTGAGGAGAGGGAGGTGGTACAAGGCTGTTACGTGCCACAAAGCTTTCCTACTGCTGTGTTGAGGCACCTTTTTCTTAATTTAACTTTTGCTTGGTTGTTCTAAAACTTTGGATATCTTTCAGAGTTCTGAAAAAGTTGATTCTGTGAGTATGCTGTAATATTAGTACTGGCAGCCTTTTAGATTATGAAAACCAGGAAGTTCATTTTTCAAAATATGGTCTCCGATAATAATCGATGTCAAAAAGTACAAGACCAGGAGATTCTGTTCAAATACAAGAGGAAATGTCAGTTATGTCAGTTTTTGGGCGTGTCCTCAAAGATCTTGAAATCACCTAATAACTGACCTGTAAATGTATTTTTGTAACGATCTAGCCATTTCTGATAAGCTTTTTCTCCAGTTTATCATAACCATTAAGGCTTTGGGTTAGGAATAAGGAAAATGCTGTCATCAGACATGTGCTTTATGCACTGGTAGCATCTACTGTTTTAGTAAAAGGTATTTTGTTCATAAGTCAAATGTCTTTCTTATAGCACAGCCTCGAACTTGACTAGCAACTGGTCAGCTCCGATTGTGTGGCATGGCTCTTACAACGAGGAAGTACTGGAAAATTACTACGCAAAACATACAATTACTGTAGGGTTGACTGTGTTTGCTGTGGGAAGGTAGGTAACACCAATGTTCATTACATTCAGTGTTTTTTGTTGTAGAAAATGGGAGGTTATCAACAATATCACCTTAAGAATCTAGAAAAAGGAGAACAAAATAAAGGCAAACCAAGCAGGTGATAATAAAGATGAGAGCAGAAAACCATGAAACCAAAAACAGAAAATCAACAGAGAAAAATCAATGAAACCAAAGCTGGTTCTTTGTGAAAAATCAGTAAAATTCACAATCATCCAGAATGTCTGGCCAAAAAAAAAAAAGACACAAATTACCAATATCAGGAAACAAACTGGGCATATCACCCCAGATCTTACATCAAAAAGAGAGTCAGGGAATGCTATAAACTCTAAGACTTAGATGAAATGGACCTTGAAATGCACAAGCTACCACAACTCATCCAGTATAAAAGACATCATCTGAATGGCCCTATCACTATTGAGGAAACAGAATTTATAATTTTTTGAAATTCCCAAAGTGTTCAGGCCCAGTTGTTTTCATTGGAGGTTTCTGCCAAATATCTAAAGAATTAACATTGATTCTACACAATCTATTTCAAAAAATAGACAAGGAGGAAACACTTCCCAAATCATTTTAATGAGCAAGTGTTATCTTAACACCAAAGTCATATAAACAAAGTACAAAAAAGAATTAGGTGATATTGAACAATGTATAGATTACTCAATTAAAATTATAAAGTTTGAACCAGAGACACTCTATGGGGGGCAGGGGGTGGGGGGGCGGGGAGGGGAGGGATTGGGGTCAAAATAAGGCGGTCGCAATTGTATGGGGAATATAAAAATAAAATTTATAATTAAAAAAATAAAATTATAAAGTTTATCAACTTTATAGTAACTTATTATTAAAGGCTGATAATTCTTAAAAAGGAAAAAACAATAAAAGAGAAAGGGAAGAAGGAAGAAAGACATCCTTACAGAGGACACTTTCTGGTTCCTCTTCCCCATATCCATCTGACCCCTTACCGTTGCTGCCCGCCCCCATCTCTGACAGGACAGTGACCCCATGCCCAGGCAGCACTCCAATCTTCAGGATGCAGGTGGGGCATCGGCTTCCTTCTGCCTTCCCTCAGCAGAACGTACTGAGTATTAGAAGGGTGCTATGGAAGTGAAGGGGCACTGAAAGCAAAGCCTCATGAACTTCGCCATAAAGCCCCTTCTGTATGTAAAAGAACCCCTGAAAGTCTCTGGGATTAATGGCATTAAGTTCCTCTGAAATCTGGAGCATAGCGGGGACTAAAAAACAGAGAACAGATTGAAAGTATCTCTATGGAACATTCAGACATGAAAATTTGCGATAGGGATGAACAAATAAGCCAATATAATAAAACCAAGTCCCTTGCAAATGATGTTAAAGACATGCATTAATTGGTGATGGCACTGTAGATGTGTAAGGAAAGACTTGCATAGATGACGCTGGAGAAAATGGAGGGCATCTGGGAAATATATCCCCTATATAGCATAGACAAACATCAATCCCCAGGTGGTCTAAAGTCTGAAAGTTTAAGGAAAAGCTTCTGAACTCATGATAGAAAAGAATTAATCAAGACACAGAAAATTCTACTCATAAAGGAGAAGTCTGATAAATGTGACTGTATTAAGATCAACTTTACCTAAGAAAACCAAGATTAAGGATCATTCTATAAAATACTGATGCAGGACTCTTTGAAAAGTTCAGGGCCATGAGCAACAAGAGAAACTTAAGACCAACACAAAACAGCCCCATATCACATCATGCAAGAATTAGTTCAAATGGGTCCTCCCCAGTGGCGCAGTGGTTGAGCGCTGGGCTGCGAAGCTGCCCGCAGCCTCTGCAGCGCGGGTTCAATCCCTGGCCGCCGGGGAGGGTCCCACATGGCATGCAGACCTCTCCTGCCATGCCCGCTGCTCCCCTCAGCAGTGTACTTCGTCAGTCTACCTGTTCTGCTCCCCACTCTGGCTCTGGTGAATTGTCTCACCCTCCCGCGCTTCTGACTGTACCCAGTGCTTGTATAAATAAATAAATAAATCTTTAAAAAAAAACAAAAAAACTTTTTAAAAAAAAAAGAATTAGTTCAAATGGATAACAGACTTGAATGTGAGAGATGAAACCATAAAGCTACTAGAAGATAATGCAGAATATTCTCACTCCCCTGAGAAGGTAGAGATTTCTGAAAGTATGAAAAAATTGTGGATATATTAGACTTCCTTGGATCTGAGCTGCTAGCTCCTAGCTCAGTAGAATATTTGGTGATATTTTTCATAATTTACCTATTAATTTCACATGTTCCAAACTAGAAAGTTTTCTCTTAACCCGACCTGCTTTCCTTCTTAAAACAGAGGTCAACGTCCAGAACTTATTTTTAGGAATATGAAAACATTATTGGAAAAAAGCTGTTACATCTGATTACTTCTGTTTTTTTTTTTTTTTAACTGACCTGAGGCCATTTATTACTCCAAGAATCTTTTACTGACTTGGAAGACTAGAAATGAGCTTTTATTTTCCAGTCCAGCAGGCTCAAGGCAAAATAAGAGCATGCAGACAATGGGGGTACTGACCATGCCACCCTTATCCTTTTACACATAAGTGCCTGTTCATGAAGCAAGTCACAGACATGAGTAACCACTCTTGCTGTGACCCCAGACCTTTCTTGCTTACAATCTCCAAAGTAAGTTCCACTGCTCTGATAACTCTGGCCCTCAGTTTCCTGGTCACACCAAGTTACATTCCCTCTCGTGGCAAACTTCTCTACGCTCCACGGAGCTCCACCAGGTAGAGGAAAGGCAGATGAGTTCACTTTCTTTCACACTATTTAAATACCACTCAAGAAGCAGATCTAATACTCAGCTGCTCGGTAGCATTTCTGAGTAAATTACAGTCAGTGTAATTTCAAGCACATGGGTTCCACAAAATATAAGAAGACGAGCTTAATCATTTCTTATTTACATCACAGGTATATCGACTACTATTTGGAAAGATTTATAGCAACTGCTGATAAGTATTTCATGGTTGGCCAGAAAGTGATCATTTATGTCATGATAGATGACTCCTCCAAGATGCCTTGGCTGCCGCTGAGTCCCCACCGCTCAATCAAGGTTTTTGAAATCAAGCGAGAGAAGAGATGGCAGGATGTCAGCATGATGCGCATGAAGACCATCAGTGAGCATGTCATAGAGCACATCCAATACGAGGTCGACTTCCTCTTCTGCATGGATGTGGATCAGATCTTCCTAAAGAAATATGGCCTGGAGACCCTGGGAGAGTCAGTCGCTCAGTTACATGCTTATTGGTATCAGAAAAATGCTACCCAGTTTCCTTATGAGAGAAGTACATTATCAGAAGCATATATACCCATGGGTGAGGGGGATTTTTATTACCATGCTGCTGTATTTGGTGGCACTCCTGTTCAGGTTCTCAATATTACCAGGGAGTGCTTCAAAGGAATCATGAAGGACAAGGAGAATAACATGGAAGCAGTGTGGCATGACGAAAGTCACTTAAATAAGTATTTCTTTCTCCATAAACCTACTAAAATCTTGTCACCAGAATACTGCTGGACTTTCAGATTACCTGAGAGTTCTGTTATTAAAATTGTCAAACTCTATTGGGCTCAGAAGGATTATAACCATCTCAGGGTGAAAAACTAATTTTATAGTCCTTCCTTGAGAGTTCTGAATTTAAAAGCATCATTTGGTTTTATCCTTTAGAAAATCAGCATTTGACAAATTTGAGCACTAAAAAAAAATCCTCTGACAAGACGGCAAGCCCACCAACATGGCATTCTCATACTTTGCTCGCATTTACTTGGGATATAGCAGTTGCTAAATGAATGTACTGACTGTGGAACTATTACTTATTAGATCACATTGAACAAAATAGAATCTCTCACGTGAAGATGAAGTCTGAAATACTGTCACTAACCCATGTAGATATACATTGTCATATTGTTTAAAGAAAGGGATTGTGTAGAGGTGTGAGTGAGGGAAAGTTACAGCAAACGACTGGTGACAATGATCTGGTGTGTCATTTGATGACACCAGATGAGCAGATCGTTACTTAGGAAACTTTGAGTCATTCAAAAAGAACTATATATTTTAAAACTACAGAGTTGTTTGCTGCAAAAACTAATGAAAATAAAAAGAGAAAACTGAAAACACCCTTTTTTAAAGATTTATTTTATTTATTTATGCATACAAGAATTGGGGTGTAGGCCAGAGAGGTGTAGAAGGTGAGAGGATTTACCAGAGACAGAGTGGGGAGCAGAACAGGCAGATCTACTGAAATACACTGCTGAGAGGAGCAGCAGGCAAGACAGGAGAGGTCTGCTGTGCCATGTGGGTAGCTCCCTGGCCAGGGATCAAATTCATGCCACAGTGGCTGGCAATAGCTTGGCAGCACCGAGACTTTAACCCCTGCACCACCAGGGAGGCCCTGAAAGCACCCTTTTATTCTCTTTGAAAACCTATCCCTCAATAGTCCTTTTATAAGCATTTGTATTCCTACTTCATGAATACAAACACACACACACACTTTGTGTACACACACATACACATATATGCACGCACACCATTTTATTAGTAGTCAGAGGGGAAAAAACTAGTATTCCAAGTATTTCAAAGAGTGGGAATTTAACAGGTAATAAGGTAATTTATTAGGTAATAAGGTAAACAGGTAATTAAACAGGTAATTTAATAGGTAATAAGTGAGCAGTGGTACACAGAAGGGAGAGTAAGGCAACACAAATTTTTTTTAATGAAGGCAATTAAAGAAAGAAAGGAAGAAAAATTATAGGATGTCCACAAAGAGCTAAAACCTAGTACAAGTTGCCTGGGATGAGAGAGAGAGCTCTAGTCACTGTAAAAGATGCCACATAAAGCGGGGAGAGAGACAGAGAGGCAGAGAGAGAAATAAACAGGTGTCTTTCCTCGCATCCTGCTCTCTTCTGCCAGATTTTCCATCTGGTGCTAGCCAACAGTCAGATGCAAGGTACGCTGGGAACTGTGCGTACCTGCTTCAGGAGCAGAGCATGGGAAAATGAGAGAGACCCGAGAATAAAAAGACAAATAGCTACCTTAGTCCACCCATCCTCCAGTCCTGCAAAGCACTCACCCTTACCCTTCTGCTCACACTTAACTCTCATAAAATTATCTCATGTTTCTACTAGCAGAATTCAACTAACTTTTGCACAAATAACCACTTTCTTCCCAAACAGGTGAAATACAAAGTACCATCTGACAGTTTCCCTCACCATATCTGGGAAAACCCAGATGACATGAGGCCCTCTCTCACAGGACTAAAGCTTGGTCAACTCTGATCTATATTGTAGAGAAAAGAACTAACACTCCTAACTTAAAAAAAAAAAAAAAGTAGAAAAAGGAAAAATTGGGTTAACCTATAAAGATACATATTTACATATGGAAAAATACATTATGTTTATATTTATCATATAAACTTTAGAAAAATGCACATGCCTTCCTAGTTCTCATTTTGTAGATGGTTTCTAGGTCAAGGTCATATTAATCACTTCTTTTTTTCTACCACCCACTCCATGTTCCTTTCCCTCTACCAAAAACTTAGCTGGATAGGGTTCTTTCTCTAGTGGGACAACCTAAATCTTTTCCCTGTGGTGTCTGAGTCATTAGTGGGTTTTTATTGATTGAATTGCCAGAGTTTGCTTTTAACAAGACCGTTGGATGAAGTAGTCTTAAGGGCCCCCCAGGGGCACCTTGAGTTCTAGCTGCAGCCCTCATCCTACACTCTTGTGTAACAGAAACCTACTCTCATCTCCTTAATTCTGATCAGTCACTTACCCCATCCTGAGACCCCTGGGCTCTTTTTCTGAGTGTAGACTGCCCACAATCCTTCTCTCTGATACCAATACCTGAATCTGTCAGGGTACTGAAATTAATGATTCACATAAGCAGAGAAATTATTTATGGAATGGTATGTTGGGTAGTAAAGTTGAATCCTCAAATCTTTGTAGACTGACACAAAGCATCTCCCCCTAGTAGCCAGTGAGGGTTGGAGTCAGAAGATGTGCTCCATACTGTCACCTGGGAACGCAGGACACAGAAGGTCTACCATCTGTGATATCACTAGTCACAATGTCAGGAGAAAGAGAATCACGCAGAGGCTTCTCAGTGCTTCAGCCTGGACCTTGCACATGTCCTGCCAAGTACAAAAAGACTAGGAAGTGGTGTCTGGCCTCTGCATGGGAAGGAAGGAAGAACCAGACATTGGTGAAAAAGAGCTATTTACTGCTTACTACAGAAGGAAGTAGTACATAGTACTTAGTAAAGAGCTGCCAACAAAAAAAAGTACAGGAATAAAGGATAGGAGGAAAGCACAGATAAGATCCTGCCATAGGTACAATTTGTTTGACTATCAAGCCTGACCCCATCACTCACTATCTTGCTGCTGAACTCCATACTCTTAGAAATGTCGGTCACAATCTTAATCCCTGGCTCTGTCACAGATATTCTCACACTAAATCCCCTTGAGGCTCAAATGCCCAGGTAGGAGAATCTGATTCGCATACCAAGGTAATTTAGGTAATGTGCCCATGTTTTAGCTGCAAGGAGTTGGAAAAAAAAAAAAATATCCATTTCAGCTTCCATACTGGACAAAAGCTGTTGCTTCTAGAATTCATTATTCTCACTAAATGAAGGGTGCTCAGTTTCTGGGCAGCCCAAACACAAAAATGTGCAATGTATAGTTTTGCATATTTAAGAATTTTATGTAAATAGAATCACATAATATGTACGCTCTTTTTTTGGCCTGTCTTCCTTCACAGTATAATTATTTTGAGATCCATTTATTCTGTTGCATGTAGCATTACTTTGTTCTATTTTATTGCTGAGCACTATTCCATTGCATAGACATAGCACACTTTGTTTATTCATTCACCTGTTAATGGAAAGGTGGGTTTCACCTTTTGGCTATTACCAAGAAAGCTACCATGAACAATCATAAATAGGACTTTTTATGGGTATAGACTACATTTCCCTTTTCACATACTTTTTTGCCTTCTCTCCGTGGTGTTATGGTGGGTTTTTGTATGTGTGAAATGTCTGCTCAAATACTTTGCTCATCTTTACTGCATTTCTCCCCATCTACTTCCTTTTCATTGTCTTAACTGTTTTTCTCCTACATTTTCTTCTATACTTTTTATTCTTTTAGATTTTACATTCAGATCAGTGATCATTTTTGAGTTGGTTTTTATATAGGGTACAAAGTGCTGATCAAACTTCCTTTTTTTATTTTTGTATATGGATATCCTACTGTTCTAGAGATTGTTTTCAAAAGACAGTATCATTTCTCCAGTGAACTGATTTTTCTTACTTGTTAAAAATCAGTTGTCCATATAGGTGTAGGTCTGTTTCTGGACTCTACTCTGTCCCGATGATCTATTAGTTATCTTTAAAACCATATAGTCTCCTTATCATCAGGGAAATGCAAATCAAAACCACATTGAGATACCACCTTACACCAGTAAGAATGGCACATATCAAAAAAACAAGCAACAACAAATGTTGGCGAGGATATGGTGAAAAAGGAACTCTCCTACATTGCTGGTGGGAGTGCAAACTGGTCCAACCACTGTGGAAAGCTGTCTGGAGGTTCCTCAATCTACTAAAAATGGAGCTACCATACAATCCGGCAATTCCAGTACTAGGGATCTACCCAAAGGACGCAAAAACAGTGATTCAAAAGAACACCTGTACCCCTGTGTTTATTGCAGCACTATTTACAATAGGTAAAACCTGGAAACAACCTAAATGTCCCAAAATAGATGACTGGATCAAGAAGATATAGTATATGTACACAGTGGAATATTATTCAGCAATCAAAAAAGATAAACTCATGCCATTTGCAGCAACGTGGATGGAGCTACAAGGAATTATGCTCAGTGAAATACGCCAGAAGGAAAAAGAAAAATATCGGATGGTTTCACTTATAGCAGGAATATAGGGGAACCAAATAGGACATCAGTGTAAAAAAATAATAACAGTACAAAACACAACAAAGCAAAAACAGACAATTGTAAACCAGAGACATCCTGCAGGGGAGGAGGAGGGAGAGGGATCAAAGGGAGGGAGGGAGGAGCACAGGGGACTGTGGTGATGGTACATGGGTGCCTTGAGGAAGGAAATTCTATAGGGTTTCAAACTGAGGGGGTGGGGGGAAGCAAATATTGTCTAAAAAAATGTAAAAAAATTGATGTTAAAATAAAAAAATTAAAAAAATAAAAAGTATGTAGAGGTTACCAGTAAAAAAATAAAATAAAACCATATGGTCTTAATTACAGGGTTTTTTTTTTAAGATTTATTTATTTATTTATTTATACAAGAACTGGGGTACAGGCCAGATGTGTGGGAAGGTGATTCACCAGAGACAGAGCAGGGAACAGAACAGGCAGACTGATGAAATACACTGCTGAGGGGAGCAGCAGGCATGATAGGAGAGGTCTGACGCACCATGTGGGACCCTCTCTGGCTGGCAGGGATTGAACTGGTGCTGTAGAGGCTGCAGACAGCTTCACAGCGTGCGCTCAACAGCCCGCGCCACCAGGGTAGGCCCTTAATTACAGTATTTTTAAATCTAAAATGATATCAAAGTTAAAAAGTTTATTTAAAAAATAAATATATAATAAATGTATTGATTTGGGCCTCCCCGGTTGAGCGCTGGGCTGCGACGCTGCCTGCAGCCTCTGCAGCACTGGTTCGATCCCCGGCCGCCGGGCGAGGGTCCCACAGGGCACGCAGACCTCTCCTGCCACCCGCTGCTCCCCTCAGCAGTGTACTTCGTCAGTCTGCCTGCTCTGCTCTCCGCTCTGACTCTGGTGAATTCTCTCACCCTCCCGCGCATCTGACTGTACCCAGTGCTTGTATAAATAAATAAATAAATCTTCAAAAAAAAATGTTTTTTAAAAAATAAATAAATGTATTGATTAAATAAAAGGCAGAGACCTAATATAAAAATGAACAAAAACGAGGGGTAATTTACATAGAAGGAATTATAATGTCTCTTAAATATGTAAGAAAGATGCTCAACATAACCATAATAAAGTAAGTGTAAATTAAAACTATACTCAGCTACAACCCTCACCTTTCAGGTCGTCAAATATGAAAAATTTGAATAGCACACTACATTGATAAAGGTGTAAGGAAATAGGTACTTTCATCCACTGGTGGTACCAGTTCAACTGGAATAAACACCTATGAAAAACAATTTGGCAACATTTACTTAAATTTCAAGTGATAGATTTTACTTTGACCCAGCAATTTCATTTCTAGGAACATGGCCTGTCATCAAGTTCAGCGAGTGCTCATAGAACATGTTCCAGTATTTCCATTGTGGCATTTCTTCTAGTAGCAAAGGAAATCAACAACCAGAATGCCTAGCAACAGAAAACCAGCTAAATAAATGATAATATAGTCATATGATGATATACTGCTCACTAGGAGAGAATGGGTTTGATGTGTGAGATGGAATGATCTTTCAAATATACTGAAGAGTGACAGAACCCAACAAACTGTGACAGCAGTTGTCCCTGGGGATGAGGTAATAGTAGATTTGGGTGCTGAGGTAGAAGATTTAGTATCCATTATATAACCTTTTTCCTGATAGATTTTTTTTTATTGTATGTGTTCTTTTTTCTGTCAAGAGCTAATTTATTTTTAAAGAAGAAGGGTAAAGGTACATGTGATCTCAAAATAAGTTATTATCTCAGGACTATTTGATTATATTTGATTATTTCCTCCTTTGTGTTTTTATGTACTTAACAAATTTTATAACAGGAAAATGTGCTATTTCTAGCATCAGAAAATGGGCACTTTAACAGCATTCTAAGAAGGTGCCAGGGGGATTAGATTTGCCTGAGATAAGTGGACAGTGCCTAATTGAGGAAGAAGATGCTGCTCTTTTCCATCCTTCACATCCACAGGCATGCAAGTGCAGCATGCCACTCAGACTTTATTGCTCAAGTAAAAATCAGCCACCAGGTAACTATGAAAGTACAAAGAAGCAAAATATGTTTTAACCTCTTACTTTTTGAAATGGGACAAATTTCTACCATCTGGTAGCAATGGGAAGCAGTTGCTGCCAAATGTGTAAATTATGACAGTATCATTATGACTTTCTAGATGCTTTCATCATCAAAAGAGTCTAGTGACATCACTCTTAGCAGAAGAGACAAATACTAGAAGAGTATTTTTCTGCTTGGTTTTTTTTTTTAAAATAGACCCAAAAGACAATGCTCGGGGAACATTCTGAGACCTCTTTATGTCACCCAAGTTAAAGGTATTTCCCTTAAGACTATGAAAATTTGGATGAGCTGGCAAAAATCATAGGCAGGGATCATTCCCAAACCTTTTGGCATGAAAAGTATATTGTATAAAATAGGTGACACATTAACATATGACTGGCTTCTGAGATAATGTCATTGAGGGTATTGTCAGAAAATTATCTGGCTAGATGGAGTCTGACCTCATATGTAGACTATTTCCATGTTCTTGTATTTAAGAAGGGGACATTTCACATTGCTGGGAAATTAAAATTGTGTCCCAGCAGAAGCTTTCACTGTTGGTATTACCTGTAGAACTGTCCAATAGAAATACACTCCTCAAATTTTCTAGGAGTCATACTGCAAAAAGGTAAAAGAAACATAGAATTTATTCAAATAACATAATTTCATTTAACCCAATATATCCAAGTCCATTTCGACCTGTAATAAATCCATACAATTACCATTGAGTTCTATTATTTTTTCATACCAGGTCTTCAAACTCCACTGTTCACACTAGCAACATTTCATGTGCTCGCTAGTCATTCAGTGTAGAGATCACCATATTGGGTGATAACGTTCTAACTCATCAAATCTTACTCATCAAATAAAAATTCAAAAAGTAAGTATCAGAAACCTCCATTGGACTCCGACACATAACCCAAAAAAGCAGGACCTGTTCTTGGACAGTGCCTACTGAAGGTCAGGTTATGCTTGTAAACAGAAAACCTACCCAACTTTTTAAACATTAGCTTCATATGTTGGCTGGAGTCAAATATTCCATTTTCGAGCTTCATGTTTTTAATTTAGACTTTTAACCACTGTTTACAAGGATATACTTTTGAGAGAGCTCATATTTTTAGGTCACTAGTCAGTCCTTTAGTCTTTGAATAAATTATCACTTTTTGTGACTAGTCAATTATTAGTCAATATCTAAATTATCAGTTAATACATATACGTGTGTACTTATATATACACATATACATATACACACAAATCAACTTTGGCATCAGGATATTATATCCCAATGTATAAGGATGTCTTCATAAGTATATCATTTTATTTTCACAGACGCGCTAGTGAATTCACACCAGTTTTCCTGAATTTCCTTTGTGAGATCAGGGTGAACCTTGATAAAGGAACACAAAAAGAATGTAACAGACACTTCGCATCTGCTCTAAAAAGAATCCATCAGCATTCTAAGGGGGATTTTTGAAGACTTCAGATTAGATGGTGCTCTGACTCAAGTCTGCCATCTTCCTGAGGCTAAGCATTCTAGAATCAGACTCTTGGATTGTGGCCCATTTTCCAAACATTAGTTCATTATTAGAAGATGGCAAGGACATTGTCATTTACTATCCCAAAACACCTCTTTTTCTCTTCTTTTTTTTTCCTAGCAGAGAATGAATTCTAAATGGAAAATGATTTTATTGATTTTATTTGCTTTAGAACTGACATTGATCATGCATCATTTCAGGTAAATAGAGAAGATTGATGAGCCACTGTCTTTAATGATTGGAAGAGTTAATCTAAAATACTGTTCTGCCCAACAAATATTAATAAACAGTCCCTAATTTAATCAGGAATTAACTCCTCTTTGGTGAACAAATCAAATCATGACTATATTATTCTTTCCTCTTTCAACATTTAACAAAAATTTTATGGAGCACCTTCTTGGTACCAGGCCCTGTACTACGTGTTGGGAAAACAGTAATAACCCAAACAAAGTGACTGCTCACATGAAGTTTGTGTTCTAGGTGGAGAAGATGGATAATAAGCAAAGAAATACATAATGTCTGGAGCACTGTATTGTATTGCTAAGAAGGAAGAAATAATGCAAGAAGACCATGTTGATGGACTATTTAAGACACACTTTATACTACATTAAAGTTCCATCTAATAGGAACAAGACATAAAGTAACCTGTTATAGAAGCACAGCTCTACTGGGGAACAAAGTTGTCAGCCTGCCGAAATTCTCTCACATAGGAAAATTCAAATTCTTACCTCCTTCATGCCTTCCTGCTTAAGGAATTTGTGTGCGTGTGTGTGTATGTGTGTGTGCACGCACGCGTATATGTATGCAATGTTTGAATACCAATCCTGTTGTTGTTTGAAAATCAGCTATATTATAGGAGCTAATGTCTTTGAAAAGTACCCTGTTGCTTTGTTATCATATTCTACATGTTATTTACCCTCCTGGGATAGCATACCTAAAATAGAAAGGATTCATGGTCACTTGGAATAGTATTAATATATTTTTTGAAGATTTTAATAAAAAAAGAAAAAGGCCATAAGCTTATCATGGGTCTGACTTCCAAAACTGGATGGCATCTACTCCAGAATAGGATCCTTGCATCTGGCACATAGTAAGTGTTTAGCTATTATTTGGTTAATAAGTGAATGGATGGATCTGAATTCTAGATACTTTGGTTATTCTAATTGTAATAGGCATTGTTCATATTTAACACTAAAATGTTTCTTTTTTTCATTTATTTAAAGAATAAAGAAACATCTGCAGATCATTAATCTCTGCTGGTAAGAATCTTGTTCTACAAATATTCTACAAACTGTATCGACAGCAAACTGGCTGGAGTTGTGTAAGTTCTAATGGTGATGGGAAAACAGAAAGGAAGACTGAATTCTCTAGAGTCAATCACTGACAAATCTCTTGGATACAAGTTCAGAAATATTCTGTGCACACGCATACGTATATGTGCATGAGTTTACAGACACATGTATGTGAACATTTCTGAAATCTGCTCACTTGAGATACCCACTTGCTTATACCAGAAAAGTTTTTGACCTTTGCTTTATTCCATCACAGGATGAAGATTTTCTTAGATTGATAGTCCTCTTTAGTCAAATATGATTTCAACCATTGATACTGTGTAGGGACAAGGAATTAGTAAAACCAATTCTCAACAAATGAATTTTTTAAAGTTTTCCATTTGCCACGGTGTATTTTTAACGAAGTTAGGCATGGAAAATTTGGATTTTGCAAGAGCACAAGTCTTGGGCAACCCTATAATGAAATATCTTTGGCTAAAAACACCTCTGATATGTCCAAAAGGGATGGACTTTTTAAAGTTATTTTTCTAATATTTGGTTTTGAAATAATTATAGAGTCACAGGAAGATGTAAGGATAGTACACAGAGGTCACAGGTACCTTTCATCCAATTTCCTCCAATGTTACATCACACATAATTGGCATGGAATAAAAGAACAGGAAATCAATGTTGGGACAAAGTATGTATGTAATTATATGGTACTTTATCATGTGTAGATTCATGTAAACATCACAATAATCAAGATACAAAAATATTCCAGCACCACAAAGATCTCCTTTGAGCCACCATTTATACTTACACCCACTATCCTCTTCCTGACCCTTCTGAAAATCCCTCAGTACCACTAGTCTTTTTATCTTCAAAATTTGGCATATTGAGAATGTTTTATAGACAGAATCAATTGAACTTTTTTTCACTCAGCCTGTTATAAATATATATCAACAGCTGTTTCCCTTTTATTGCTATATAATATTCCACAAAGGGATGTACCAAAGTTTGTTTAATCATTCACCCAGTGAGGGACATTTTGGTTGACAGTTCTTTTCCTACAGCACATGAAAAATGTTGTACTTCCTTTTGGGTGGGTAATTTCTGATGAGAAATCTTTCATTCAAGTCAATTTTTCCCTATTGGTAAATCATTTCTCTGCCTGTTTTTCAAGACTTCTTTTCATCGGTGGCTTTCAGAAATTTGACTATGATATGCCTCAGCAGGATTTCTTTGGGTTTACCCTGTTTGGGAGCTGTTTTCCCCCTGCTGGCATGTATCACTGTGTACTACAGTTGCCTAATGCTATCTTTCCTGCTAGTCTATCAGCTTCAGAAGCTAGAGCTATTATAATGTTCATAGTCATAAAAGCAGAACCAAACAATGCTTGTTACACTAGAGTCATACTATAGGGGCACAACATATATTTGCTGAAAAAACAGATTACAATTGACTTGATTTTCTCTTTGTATAAAGGAATCATGGTATAGAAGAACCTCAGCTCTCAGACTGGTTTCATCCTAAATAAGAACAAAAAATTCTGTTCCCCCAAAAATAATAATATAACTCAATTTTAATGAGGGAGGCTTTTTTCCCCATTATCAAATTGTAGCTATCCTGGGAAGTTCCCAAGACTTTGAGTTTTTGCTATTTAAGGTTTTTACATACAAACCTGGGGTCTATATAAAGTATTGGGCAGAAAGTCTCTATCTGGTTTAACACTCCTGGTTTTATTTGGGGAAGCAGTCCCCCAAAATGCCATTCATCTCTCTTGATTTGGGCATTAACAGGATGGAGAGGATTTCCATCTCTGTAATGGTTACAGAGGATTTTTCTTTAGGGCTGTATATCACAATTTATTTAGCCAATTTCTATTGGTTTTGTTTGTAATTTGAGCCTTATTGTAATGTTTACAGGAATATACTTGTACATGTATTTTTGCACACTATATGCACAGAGATATGTTTAGACACTGGGCTACTTGGGTTTAATCTCACAGTACAAAGAAAAAAAATCCCTGGGCTCCAAAGGCAGCATGAGGGTAATGGCTAAAGCATAGTCTGAAGCCAGACTGGCTGATCTCGAATGCAGGCTGTCTCACTGTTGTGCAATCATCCCAAGCCAAGTAGGTTCATTGTCGATACTTGCAGACGAAAAGAGAATTTTGGAGCCTTCTGTATCTCTATCATGCCTTTAATGCTGAATCAGGGGACCAGACACAGGTAGACCAGCATACAGGGAGGAGGCAACTGGGCTCCCCGGCCCAGAGTGATACAAACACCAGAACTGAGGAGCCCCTTTTATCCCTTGCTGCTGGGCACAGATGTCTGTATTTACACACACACACACACACACACACACACACACACAAACACACACACAACCGTTCCCCCCACTCTGGGCCCAGTTGCCCTGTACTCACACTCCCAAGCACAACACATTATCATGTGCAAGTAATGCCACTTGGGAAGAAAGGCAGACCACAGGTGCCGGATGTAGAGGCCAGCGATGGAGAGGCAGAGAAAAGCCTGATTTAATTCCATTTTCCCTTCAGTCACTGACTAGCTGTGTGATACTAAGCAACTTATTCAACCAAATTGCCTAAGTTCCTCATATGCAAAATAAGGATAATAATAGTACCTGCTTATAGGATGTTCCAAGAATTAGATGAGTAATGTAAAGTACTTATTCAGTAAGCTTGGCACATAGTAAGCCCTTTATAATCAACTATGATCACTTGGAAAACAACTTCTGCCATCAGAAGAAAATGATCTCAGCTTAATTTGTTTCTTTGTTCAACAGAAAACGTCCTGACGTAGTAACAATAACCAACTGGGGTGCTCCAGTCATATGGAAAGGGACTTATGACAGACAGGTCCTGGAAAAACATTACAGAAGATTGAACGTGACTGTAGGCCTGGCTATATGTACTAGTGGAAAGTAGGTGACACTAATATCGACTCTTTTGGGGAAAATGTGGATGAGCATCCATGAACTTTCTACATCTAAAGAACTACTCAAAATGAGTCCGAATCATTATTTCTAGCTGGCCTCTATTATTCTTTAAGGTGGTTATTTTCCCCCACCTTGGCTGAGGCCTTAACCCTACTTGGGAATCTCTTCATTAATATCCACTTAACTCTGTTCCTTTCTTCACGACAAACTTTATGACTCTTCTCAGGTCTCCAAGTTTACCTCATTCTTTCACTAACAAATACACTTAAGCTCTAGACCCAACTTCTCTGCCCCACCTGCTGGCAACAAGGACACAGGGGTTAGGCAATACGTTTAAGTGCCGCCTAACCTTCTGATTCTTAGCAAAATGAGTTTTTCTGGTTTTCCCTCCCTCACAGGTTTGCAGATCAGGACCTGAAAGAGCTCATCCAGTCTGCGAACAAGCACTTCATGGCTGGCCACCCTGTGATCTTCTACATTCTGATGGATGACTTCTCCAAGCTCCCTCATGTAGAGCTGGGTCCCCTTCGAACTATGAAGTTATTTACTCTCCACAAAGAAAATGCGTGGAAAGACAAAGATTTCATGCATATGAAGAACTTAGATGTGTATATCACAAAACAAATTCAGCATGAAGTGGACTTTCTCTTCAGTATGACTGCAAACCAGATCTTCAGGAATGACTTTGGGGTGGAGACCCTGGGCGAGAGTCTGTAGCTCGACTCGATCCCTGGTGGTATTTTAAAGACGTGAGAAATTTCCCTTATGAAAGAAAATCTAAGTCAGAAGCTTTCATCCCTTACGGAATGGGAGACTTCTACTACCAAAGAACACTTTTTGGTGGCACACCTCTTGAGGTTTTAACCCTCATTAGAGAATATGAAAAAGGAGTTACTCATGACACCAGAGAGGGAATTACCAGCATATATGAAAGTCACCTAAACAAGTATTTTTTTAATCCATAAACCCACAAAGTTGTTATCACCAGAATACAATTGAGAGATGGGCGGAGCAACATGGCGGCGAGGAGACGCTGCGAGTAAGATCTCCCATTAAAAAAAGTGAATAGGGAGGAAAAGCGGCAGGTCCCAGTGAGAACTGAGACAGGGAAGATAAACGGACGACTCCAGCAAACTGCCCGAAGAAGAAAGTTGCCATAAAAGAGGACGAGAAGGGAGGGAAGCGCAGAACCCTGCTCCCCTCCCCCGCCCACAGAGGCGGCACTCTCCGACCGGCAGAGACGAGGGAAACAACAAACCAAAACGCCCAACAAGAAAAACGGATGCAGCAAGTGGGACTGTGAGTGGAAAGGAACTATTTCAGCCACCACACCCCGTGAACGGGAGCTGAGGCGAACCCTGCAGGATCCGCCGCGGAGGTGAGCTCCAGGCGCCAGTAAAGAGAGCCCCGCCCACCAGGAGGAGCCCAGCACCAGCACACAGCCCCAGCCGCCCGGTAAGCTTGCGCGAAAGCGGTGCTCGGATTGCAGCTGCCCAGGGCCCTGCGCCTGCGACCTAGGCTTGCGGGGAGACGGCGGAGGCCCTCCCTGAGTGAGCAGGAACAAGGTGCCCAGGCAGGGGAGCGGGATTCAAAAGGCGCCATTCCCACGCCACTGATCTGGGCTACAGCCCGCGTCCTGGAACTGAGGGCTTTGGAACTGAGACCCGGGCGGAGGCCCTCCCTGAGTGAGCAGGAACAAGGCGCCCAGGCAGGGGAGCGGGATTCAAAAGGCGCCATTCCCGCGCCACTGATCTGGGCTACAGCCCGCGTCCTGGAACTGAGGGCTTTGGAACTGAGACCCGGGGCACGAAATTAGGGGCGTGGGTTCCCCACGACGGTGGGGCACAAGGCAGACACAGCACCCCAAAGCCGTTGAGGTGTACCCTACCATCCCCGCTCTGCTCCCTGTCCCACGGGGTGGAAAATCAGCTCCCCAAGGGCTCTAGGAGAGATCTCTGGTGCCACCTAGCGACTTGACCCCAGCACAGGCTACTGAAGGAGCTAGTGGCCAGCTGGGGAGTTAGCCCACACCGGGCCCCTTCTGAACAAGTAGTCTGAGCCCACAGGGAGAGCGAGCACCCACAGCCGGGGCAGACCAGGCGCGCAGAATAGTGTGCCTGAGACCAGAAGCGCAGGGAGTGTGTCCCACATCACCATTTTAGAACAGGGACATTTCTTCAGTAAAGACTACCTGCAGAAGGCTTCCTCAGGAGCCAGAGGTGAGCGGGGGAAGTTCGCCCACGCCAGACCCCCTCTGGCCTGCAGTCCAAGCCCAGAGGGGAGCAGGAACCCACCGCCGGGGCAGACCAGGCGCACAGGGGAGTGTGTCCCCACATCGACATTTTAGAACAGGGACCTTTCTCCAGTAAAGGCTGCTTGAAACTGACAGATGACTCCTGGAAGAACCAGAGGGGAACAGAGAAGCCCACCCAAGATGCCGGCAAGTCCCAACAACACAGTGTCCCAACGCATACGGCAAATTAGAAAACAGACAGTAGGGAGGAGAAGAACCACACGCAACCTAGCAACTCTCCAGAGAAAAAGCACACCACAAAAAGAAAGCCAGCCCCCAGATTGCAACGACAATAACTTGGAAGAATTTCTGAGCCTTCCAGAAAGAGAATTTAAAATTGCCGTGATTAAAAAACTGACAGAAGTCATAAAGGAAAACAATGATAAGGGAAAAATAATCAACGATCAGAAGAATGCAATTGAGTCCCTAGAGAGGGAAAACAATGGTCAGAAGAAAGAAATTGAGTCCCTAAAGAGGGAAGTAAAAGAAATGCAGGAGATCAAAGAATTAATGGAAGAACTAAAGAATTCTGGGAAAAGCAATGAAAGCAGAATAGATGAAATGGAAGAACAAATAAGTAATCTTGAAGACACAGAAATAAAAAGAACCAAAACAGAGAAGGAAAGAGAAGTACGAAGGAAAAAGAACGAAGAAAGACTTCGGGAACTATCGGACTCCATGAGGAAAGGAAATATAAGAGTTATAGGAATACCAGAAGGAGAGGAGAGAGATGTAGGAACAGAGAAAATATTCAAAGAGATAATTGAAGAGAACTTCCCAAATGTGAAGAAGGAGCTGAAAATTGATATACAAGAAGCAAGAAGAACACCAAACTTCCACGACGAAAGGAAAAATACAGCAAGACACATAATAGTAAAGCTCCCAAGAATCCAGGACAAGGAAAAAATAATGAAGCTGGCAAGAGGGAAGAAACAGATAACATTCAAAGGAAAACCAATCAGGCTGACATCAGACTTCTCCGAAGAAACACTACGGGCAAGGAGAGAGTGGAGGGACATAGTCAACAGACTCCAAGAAAACAGATGCCAACCAAGAATACTCTATCCCGCAAAGCTCTCCTTCCTCTTTGAAGAAAGAATATGGACCTTCCCAGACAAACAGAAACTCCGGAATTTCATTGCAACTAAACCCCCACTCCAAAAAATACTACAAGGAGTTCTAAAGCCAGAACCTCAGAGCGACGAATAACAATGAAAGAAGGCCAAAAAAAAAAAAAAAAGTTATTAAAAGAATAAATAAATAAAATCAAAGGAAAGACAAACACAATGGCAAATACAGATGTTAACATATCAATATTAACTCTAAATGTAAATGGACTAAACTCTTCAATAAAAAGACACAGAGTTGCAGCCTGGATTAAGAAACAAAACCCAACCTTTTGCTGTCTCCAGGAAACACATTTAGCTACAAAAGATAAAAATAGGCTCAAAGTTAAAGGATGGAAAACAATCCTACAAGCAAATGGACCAAAAAAGAAAGCAGGAACAGCTATACTTATATCAGATAAAACAGATTTCAAACTCAAAAAGATAAAAAGAGACCCCAATGGTCACTACATTATGATCAAGGGGACAATACTTCAAGAAGAAATAACACTCATTAACATATACTCACCAAACGAAGGAGCACCAAAATTATCAGACAACTGTTGTCCTCTCTGAAAACAGACATCAGAGAAAACACATACGTAGTGGGAGACTTCAACACACCACTATCAACAATGGATAGATCAACAAGACAAAAAATAAGTAAAGAAACCAAAGCTCTAAATAAAGACCTAGAGCAATTGGGCTTAACAGACATCTATAGAACACTAAACCCCAAAAAAACGGAGTACACATTTTTCTCAAGCGCACACGGATCATTCTCCAGGATCGATCACATACTGGGGCACAAGACAAACATCAACAGATACACCAAGATTGAAATCATATCAACCATCTTTTCTGACCATGAAGGCATCAAACTAGAAATAAACCATAAAAAGAAGGCAAGGAACTTTCCTACCTCATGGAGATTAAAAACCACACTACTGGAAGACCATTGGACTAATGAGGAGATCAAAGAAGAAATTAAAAAATTTTTTGAATTGAACGACAAGGAGGACACCAATATCCTAAATGTATGGGATGCAGCAAAAGCAGTAATAAGAGGAAAATATATAGCAATAGAAGCTCACATCAAGAAACAAGAAAGAACGCAAAGAAACAACCTAATCTCGAAGCTCAAAGATCTAGAAAAAGAACAACAAGAAAACCCCAAAACCAGTAGAAGAAAAGAAATAATAAAAACCAAAGCAGAAATAAATGAAATTGAAACTAAAAAAACAATCCAAAAGATCAATGAAACCAAGAGCTGGTTCTTTGAAAAAATCAATAAAATAGACAAACCCCTAGCCAGGCTCACAAAGGAAAAAAGGGAGAAAGCACAAATAAACAGGATCATCAATGAAAGAGGAGAAATCACAACGGACACAGCAGAAATCAAAAGAATAATCAGTAACTACTATGAACAGTTATATGGAAACAAGTTTAACAATCTAGAGGAGATGGACAAATTCCTACAACTCTACAATCACCCAAAGCTAGATAAAGAAGAAATAGAACACCTAAACAGACCAATTACAATTAGCGAAATTGAAATGGTAATCAAAAACCTCCCCAAAAACAAAAGCCCAGGACCTGATGGATTTACAAATGAATTCTACCAAACATTCAGAGACGAATTAGTGCCTATCCTTCACAAACTCTTCCAAAAAATTGAGAAGGAAGGGACAATACCAAACACGTTCTATGAAGCCAACATTACACTAATACCAAAACCGAACAAGGACAACACAAAAAAGGAAAACTACAGGCCAATCTCCCTAATGAACACTGATGCAAAAATCCTCAATAAAATTTTAGCTATCAGAATCCAACAATGTATCCATAAGATAATTCACCACGACCAAGTTGGATTCATTCCAGGGGCACAAGGATGGTTTAACATCCGAAAATCAATCAACGTTATCCAACACATCAACAAAAAGAAATATAAAAACCATATGATAATATCAATAGATGCTGAGAAAGCTTTCGACAAAGTGCAACACCCATTCATGATAAAAGCCCTTGAAGTTCTTGGGATACAAGGAACATACCTCAACATCATAAAGGCCATCTATGACAAGCCAACAGCCAGTATCATTCTCAATGGTGAAAAGCTGAAAGCAATTCCATTAAGATCTGGAACAAGACAAGGATGTCCACTCTCACCATTGCTTTTCAATATAATACTGGAAGTCCTAGCCAGGGCAATAAGACAAGAGAAAGACATCCAAGGAATCCAAATAGGAAAAGAAGAAGTCAAACTATCACTATTTGCAGACGATATGATATTATACATAGAGAACCCCAAAAACTCCACAGAAAAGCTAATTCAACTCATCAATCAGTTCAGTAAAGTGGCAGGATACAAAATCAACACGCAAAAGTCAGTAGCCTTCCTATACACAAACAATAAATCTGAAGAAGAAGAAATCGAAAAGACCATCCCTTTTGTTATTGAAACAAAAAAAATCAAATATTTGGGAATAAATCTAACAAAAGAGGTAAAGGACCTATACAAAGAAAACTATAAAACACTGTTAAAAGAAATAGAAGAAGACACAAAGAAATGGAGAGACATCCCCTGCTCATGGATTGGAAGAATAAACATTATTAAAATGGCCATCCTTCCAAAAGCAATATACAGATTCAATGCTATTCCAATCAAAATTTCAATGTCATTCTTCAAAGAAATAGAAAAATTATTGATGAAATTCATATGGAATCACAAAAAACCCCGAATAGCCAAAGCTCTCCTGAAAAAAAAAGAAGGGAATGGAGGCATCAGACTCCCAGACTTCAAACTATACTACAAAGCCATAATCATCAAAACTGCATGGTATTGGAACAAGAACAGACATACAGACCAATGGAATCGAATAGAAAATCCAGAAGTAAACCCACAGATTTATGGTCAACTAATCTTTGACAAAGGAGCAAAGACTATGCATTGGAGCAAAGAAAGTTTGTTCAATAAATGGTGCTGGGAAAACTGGGTCGCTACATGCAAAAGAATGAAGCTTGACCACCACCTCACACCATACACAAAAATCAACTCAAAATGGATTAAAGAACTAGACATAAGACCTGAAACCATAAAATATATAGAAGGAAATATAGGCGAAACACTACGTGATTTGCACATCAAAGACATCTTTACAGACACATCACCCAAAGCAGTGATAGTGAAGGCAAAGATAAACAGCTGGGACTATATCAAATTAAAGAGCTTTTGCACAGCAAAAGAGACAATAACAAAAACAAAGAGAAACCCACCAACTGGGAGAACATTTTTGCACCCAACACTAATGATAAAGGACTGATCACAAAAATCTGCAAAGAGCTGATGAGACTCAACAACAACAAAGAAAATAATCCAGTCAAAAAATGGGCAGAAGAGCTTAAAAGAAACTTCTCTGAAGAGGAAATGCAAATGGCCAACAGGCATATGAAAAAATGTTCAACATCACTTGTCATCAGGGAAATGCAAATCAAAACTACCATGAGATACCATCTTACACCAGTGAGAATGGCACATATTAAAAAAACTAGCAACAACAAATGTTGGCGAGGGTGTGGAGAAAAAGGAACTCTTCTGCACTGTTGGTGGGAGTGCAAACTGGTCCAACCACTGTGGAAAGCTGTGTGGAGATTTCTGGACCTACTAAACATAGAGCTTCCATATGACCCAGCAATTCCACTCCTAGGTATTTACCCAAAGGACACAGAAACATCAATTCCAAAGAACACCTGCACCCCTATGTTTATAGCAGCACTGTTTACAATAGCTAAGCTTTGGAAACAACCCAAATGCCCAAAAATAGATGACTGGATCAAGAAGATGTGGTACATATATACCATGGAATATTACTCAGCATTCAAAAAAGATAAACACATGCAATTTGCTGCAACATGGATGGCGCTGGAAGGGATCATGCTCAGCGAAATAAGCCAAAAAGAAAAAGAAAAATACCGGATGGTCTCACTCATAGCAGGAATCTAGAAAACTTAAATAATGGACCAGGAAAATGAAAAACTATAAGAAAGTGAAAATCAAAATCAACAAAAAACTATGAACCAGAGACACTTTTAGGGGGGCGGGGGCGGAGGGGAGGGATTGGGTCAGAATGGGGGCGCAATTGTATGGGGAATATAACAATAAATTTATTAAAAAAAAAAAAAAAAAAAAAAAAAAAAAAAACAATTGAAATCCAAAATTTAGAACTTCTCCAAAATCAAATGTTAAGATAGAATGGAAGACAGAAAAGACTTGATGTTTATAATGAAGGGGTCACAATAATTCCTCAAATATAAAACTTAAAATATTTGTCAGTGTCTTAGAAACTTACCAAATGTGCAAACTTTGAAAGTAAAATTGCTTTTCTCCTTGCCGTTTGGAGCATCTCAATCTATCTATTCTGGAATAAGAATACATAGATAATAACTTAATATTAATGTACACTGATGCTATGTATTTTATAAGTAATATGGAAATCTATTTGGAGGCATAAGATGAATGTTTTATGGAGAAACACACCCAGATTCTAGTACAGAAATAAAGACAGACCAACAGATAGAGACATACACCACCAAAGGGATAAAATTAAGGAAAAAAAGTAAATATTCACCAATGTGCTCATCAAATATTCACCTTGTTTTTCAGTGTTGGGATATACATTGCTTGTGATTACCTCAATTAGTACTTGATCTATCTAGCATCTGATTGAAGTTAGGTAACTTAGGTACATTCTACCAAACATGTGTCTTACATTTATTCTTACAAAGAGATGTGTTGAGTTCATTGTTTTAATGCTGCACATTTTTCAAATAGATATCAAATCTATGGAAAATGTACTCTACTTGGTGCAATCAAAGATGGAAAAATGTCTTTTAAAAAATTCGCCCTCAAGGAGCCTACAGTCTAGCAACACGGGAGATAAAACTATTCAGAAATATCTCTTTCACAAGTTTTAAAGTATTAAAGTATTTAAAGTATGGAAGTATTTAAAGTATTAAAATTTATAAGGAAGATGTGGTTAAAATGCCATGGTAGTTAAAAAAGGGGCAATCACCTCCATATGAATCTTTAGTGGTCACATTGACTATGTTTTCACAAATTTGTGAGGCATTCTAGCATAGTTATAAGAACTGGAGATAATTTACTATTTTAATCCTCTTTTTTTAAAAAAAAGATTTATTTTATTTATACAAGAGCTGTGGTACAGGCCAGAGTCGTGGGAGGATGAGAGGATTCACCAGAGACAGAGCAGGAGGCAGAACAGGCAGACGGACTGAGAGCACTGCTGAGGGGAGCAGCGGGCAAGACAGGAGAGGTCTGCTGCGCAATGTGGGATTCTCCCTGGCTGGCCGGGAATCAAACAGGCACTGTGGATGCTGTGGACAGCTTCACAGTACTGCACTCAACCCGCTGCGCCACTGGGGAGGCCCCTATTTTAATCCTCTTATGAGAGAAAAAAATGGAGGTTAAATAATCTATAAAAGGCATAAATGACTGGCTATTAGAACACTAAAATTACAAGAATATTGATGATGACTGTGGCAGGTGGCCTTCACGATGCCCCATGGTTCACCTGCCCTGATGCCCATATCTCCACTCCCCACCCCCTCACCCACTTTGAGTGTGAGCTGAATATAGTGACTTGCTTCCAAATGACAGGGTATGACACAGGTAATGGGCTATCACTTTCAGGACTAGGTGACATAAGATTGTGACTTCTATCTTACTTGCAGACTGACTCTTTTCTTGCTGCTCTTGATGAAGCAAGTTGAAATATTGGAGTGGCCCTCACAGCAAGGAACAGAAGTCATCTTCTTGGTGAGGCCACCTGATCTGAAATTATAACCTTCCCTCCAGAAATTTTAAACTTAATTCCTCCTTCCTTATTTTTTTCTCCTTAACATTTGTAACTGCACAACACACAGTTCCTCGGAGCTTACATGTTTATAAGCTGTCTTCCCACAAGAATGTAAGCTTCTCAGACTTTTAGCATTTGTCCATTTTGTTCACAGCTCCAATCCCAGTGCCCAGAAAAGTAACCATATTGACAGTATTCGCTGATCATTTGTGGAATGAATAAGTGAACCAAAGACCTATGACTTGGGAAACGATCCTTAAAGGCAATTCGTCTGCCTTCCCTTAAATACCCAAGACAAAAAGAAGTACATGGGCATTAACACTAGGTGGCGCAAGATTACAAAGAAAGGAACCCTCACCGCCAATCCTTTTTCCCCTGCTGCCAAGTGCTTAGAGGAAAGTCTAGTGTTACCAAGTTTCCTTTGACAGCCCAAGCCTGCTGAGGTTACATTTTCTGTAAAACTCAGATTTCACTCATGTGTAGCCCACCTGTGTAAACGTTATGCTGCCCTGTCAGTTATTCCAGTTCTTCCTCACGCCAGTCCATGGTAGCAAGTCCCTCCTTCCCCTACTGGTCCCAACCTACCTTCAACTGAAGTCAGCCAGCACCAAAGCCCTCAAGCCTCCAGAGCTAGGGGGTGGCGCGTGACGAGAAAGAATCTGTCCCCTCCTGACCACCCTCTATGAGAAGGGTCACAGATGCTCGACACTGCTCTTTCCTAGTTTACTTCTAGCCTCCTCTCTCCCTAGAGCCCTCCATTGGGTCCATGCGTTCAGGGCTGGGATGAATTTGTATGGCAGCTACCATCTCCCAAGATTAACAGTTGCTACCACTTCCCAGCACCAATAAAGCCTCTCTGACTGGGCGGAGTTTAGGGCATCTTAACTGCTCACTCCTTAGGGGCTGGTTTCCCAGAAACACCCATCACAGATCTGCCCACCAACTCATGTTAGGTCAGGGTGAACAACTCGTCTGGTTGCCAGGGACTTTCCCAGGGTCAGCACAGGAAGTCTCAGGTTCCAGGGTGAACCTGGACAGTTGGTAACTATGTGACTACAGAAACGCAAGCAAGAACTGTGTCTGCTTTTACTCAGGGGTATGACATTTTTAACACATACAGGTTTTTGTTCTCTCTTTCCACTCCACAGGTTGGCAGTCACCAACTCTGTCCTCTCTGTTCCTTTTGTTTGTTTCTCCTGTTATGTTCTCTGTAAAACAGCAGAATATGACAGAAACCAAGAAAAGACAGGGCCAGGAGATTCAGGTCCTTCAGGAGTGACAGTGGAGCACACGACCTGGTGCAGGTGCTGGCTCAGAGAAAAGGGGACATGAAATGAGGGAAGAAGAAAGTGACACATATTAGCTACTGGCTTATGGCCACACAGGAAAAAAGGACAAATGGCTAAGCATTATTTTCTTTCTTGTTTAACATGTGTGTACAATAACTAACACGTGTGTTATTGCGTATAATTTTCTTTTAATTTTATAATTTCATCTTTAAACTAGTGAATATTCAAGAGGGGCTGCAACTGAACTTGAGGAGTAATTCTCATCCTGAAATTAACGTGGGGCCTTCTATTTCAGGGAGAAAGAATGAAGAGTCAATTTCTACAAAGGACATTAAAGAAAAGCTGCAATTTGCTATTGCTGAATGGAAAGTTCCAATATGTGCGGACTTGGTGTGCAGATACTGGGGTGAGCTGTACGTCACTAAACCACTGGCTTTTTTTTTTTTTTTTTTAGCCCAACCAGTCTTTGCTTACCACATTTCTCTCAAGGTCTGTGAGATACAGTTAGTAATAGCATACCTTAATTAATAACATTTGTTACTTTTTCTTAAAGTGAGGCACTTGGCCAATTGGTTTGCATGAATTTTTCTGTTCTTTTTTTTTTAAATAATAAATTTTATTTTTATATTCCCCATACAATTTCAACCCCCCCATTTTGACCCCAATCCCTCACCTCCCCACCCCCCACCCCCCAAAAAGTGTCTCTGGTTCATAGTTTTTTGTTGATTTTGATTTTCACTTTCTTATAGTTATTCATTTTCCTGGTCCCTTATTTAAGTTTTCTAGATTCCTGCTATGAGCGAGACCATCCGGTATTTTTCTTTTTCTTTCTGGCTTATTTCGCTGAGCATGATCCCTTCCAGCGCCATCCATGTTGCTGCAAATTGCATGTGTTTATCTTTTTTGAATGCTGAGTAATATTCCATGGTGTATATGTACCACATCTTCTTGATCCAGTCATCTATTTTTGGGCATTTGGGTTGTTTCCAAAGCTTAGCTATTGTAAACAGTGCTGCTATAAACATAGGGGTGCACGTGTTCTTTGGAATTGATGTTTCTGTGTCCTTTGGGTAAATACCTAGGAGTGGAATTGCTGGATCATATGGAAGCTCTATGTTTAGTAGGTCCAGAAATCTCCACACAGTTCTCCATTAAACCACTGGCTTTTAGGACCACTAAGCCCATGCATTTTTATTCTGCTTTGTGGCTCAGGGACAATGCCAACTGTATGTCTATGCTGCCAGCTACTTCCTGTTGAATTCTGCAGAGCAGGAGAGAAGGGACCTGCTCCTCTCCTGACAAGTGGTTCTCCATTATAATTAATATTCAACTTGGGGGGGACACTTCTGGAACCACCCTATCATGCCTATTCAAATCTATCAGCAAGTTAGGCAGTGGCCCCGCAATGAGGGTCTCAGGGGGCTATCCTTTGAGCATCCTTTGTCTTCCCGGTCTTAGGGGTGATAGCTTCTTCCAGCAGTTCCTATCCCCTTTTTTCCTTTCAGTGATCCACACTGCTGGACTAAGTCTTTATAGTGAACTCTGTGTTGAAAAACCAAGGGCGTCTTCTCTTATGAGTGTGTCCATAATGTAAAGCCCCTGCAAGGAAAGAACCCAAACCACCATGCTTTCCCAAGACAAAGGAAACATGGAGTAAGTGGGAGAGGAAGGAAGCGCTAATCATCAACTGTAGTCTTCAGACTTCTTACAGCAGCAAGGACTGAGCACTATTTGTTGTAATATCCATATTAAGCAATGACTTCAACCTTTCTCCTTTTCCCTTCTCCTACAGTTTTGTATGAAGTGTTGGAGGAACTGGGTCTACAATTTCACTCGCAGGTCACCAGGCCACAAAAAGTCACATCTGGACCCGGCAAAGCGGCGCGGGGACCACCAGTAGACCCTGAACTGGAGATACAGATATGAAAACCAGTGGGGCTCCCTGAGTCTCTCTTCTGGCCCGGGGAGATGGGGAGAGAGTCTCTGCATGACAGCATGATGCTGCATATGGACAGAAGATGAACTTAAATAGTGAGGAGCAAAAGGGGTGGGATGTATGGCTCCCAAGTCCATTTTTCCTCAAATCCACTCCTTGCCCTTCCCTGTCTTTGCTCTGCATTGTAGGCAGCTGACCTCTGTTAAGTCGCATGCTCAGGCTGATTTCTGAAAGACTGAAGGGCAGAGGAGGGGAGGAATAAGCCAGGCTACTTCTATCTCAGGAACTTCTCTGGCAGTCACGGCATCCCCTTAGTGGCCCCAGCTCTCACCAGACAGCCCCTTACAGGCCCCAGCCTCTAACAGATGACCTCCAGCTCTGGGGTTCTTACTTCTGTCTCTCCAGACCAGCACAGTGGTCCTTCTGCTCTTACTAATCTCTGGGTTGCTTCACTTTCTCAGGCCCTCAGTTTCCTCTCTCACCTGGTAACCACTTGCCCGAATTACATTTCCTCTATTGTAAAAACTATTTAGAAGTGGTTGCTATTTTCCTGGTTGCCCCTGACTGTGATAAGAAAAGTTAATCATGAGAACTAATCATACTTCAGATAGGGCTGACTAAGTCATTATTCTACAATACTCCCATTCTGGGAATTTATACACAGATAAACCCACATACCCTCAAAGGGAGGTCTGTATCAGGTCATTCATTGTCATATGGTTGGTAAAGGCAAAAATGAGGATCAAAACCAAGCCAATGTGTATTGGTTTGGTTAAGCAAACACTGTGACATCCACAACGCTGTAAAAAGAAATAAAGGAAACTCAGCAAAGAAGACAGAGCACAGAACAAGTAGCATGCTAGCCTCTGTGTAAGAGGGCAAAGAATAAGAATGTATGTTTGTATTGCATAAATAGCAAAAAGACACACAAGAAAATTAAAAAACGTGGTCAAGGGAGAATAAAGTAGAGAGGGACAAAAGAGGAAATTCTCAGATCTCACAGGAAATTCTTAGATCATTCTGACTTTTGAGTCACATATAGATGCATTACCTATTGTGTTATAACACTATTGGAAAAGGAATAAAAATTATAAAAATGCATAGAAAGAAAACGCTGCAACCTAGTCACTAAATGATAAACATAACCAAATTTTAATACTTTATAATACTGTAGCCAAGTGGACCTTTGGAAGTGGGGGCGCAAAAGGGATGCTTGGTAAGGATGGAGTACAGTTTTAAAATACATTCCCCACCCCTTGAGTGTGGACTACATTTAGTGACTCTCTTCCAAAGAAAAGGGCACAGAAAGAGAGAAACCTGGCAGACCCTACCCTAACCAAGGGATCCAGGTTAATATCTCCAGCCATAAGGCCATCACACACCCCTTGCCCCAGATACACACTTCCAAAGTAAGCGTGACAAAGCCAAACATCTGGCAAACCCCCACTATGAAACAGCCTACAAATGCATGACCAGTAACTTGTTCAAAATTTCCAAGGCTGTGAAAGACAAGCAAAGACCAAAAAACTGTGACAGATTGGAAACGAAGGAAACCTGGGGACCAAATGCAATGTAATATCCTGAACTAGAACAAGGGCAACAGTGGAAAGACTTGTGAGATGGAAATGAAGTCAGTGGTTTCACGGACAGTGTTCACTCATGTTAACTTCTTAGTTCTGATAAACACAATTTGATTATGGAACATGCTAACACTGGAGGAAGCTTGGGGAAGAGTATACTGGAACTTCACACTATCTCTGTCAATTGTTTGCAAATCTGAAACAACTTCAAAATAGATTTAAAGAAAATAAAAAAATGTTACAAGGAATAAACTCATGGCATTGAGGAACTACCCCTGCAGAAGACTAGGACTTGTGAACACAAGAGAGAACAGCTTCGGGAACAAGAGCCCTGTTGGAAAATAGAAGCATGAACTGAACATACACACACTGAGTGCTAAGACCAAGCACCAACCTAAGACCTGTGCGCCTGGGCTCCACATTAGGAAGTCTTATGTGTCAGGGAGGATACTCAGAGCCCAGCACTCATTGTTGGTACAGTGCAATCTAGAACCTTCAATATTTCCTTTCGTGATGCTGACTTTATTTAGGCTCCTGGGAGAAGCTTCTTCACACATCTCTTGCTCTTCTCCTCCTAATAAAAGGGGTAGTCCCTGCATGGTATGCAAGTGGATGGGCTGTGCGCCTATTGTCAGAGACAGACTTTGCTACCAAGAGAATCTGAACAGTAAAAGCTCTGGGGTGAGAGAAGAGGCGAACTGGTCTGAATCCTTCCTCTCTAAGAACATGAATGGGATATGTATATCAATGTCTCAGAGCAGTAAATGTCCATTTTTTACCTCACTTTGCATTCTAGCTGAAGTATCCAATGACAGTCACTAATTAGTATACTATTCCCACTGTTCTATGTGGCAGCTGAGAAACACTGTGTGCTATTTAAATAAATCACATTACTTTTAAGTCTGTGTGAATATGTGTAGGTGCGGTATGTGTGGAGCAATCTATCCATTGTTACATTGACAGATGGATACTGATTCTAGAATTGCAATTAGTTTAACTTTTATAAAATGTTTAATAGAATTTAAATTCTCAAAATATTAAATTTTAAATTCCCGCTTTAAGTATTCTATTTAAATTTTCATGTGTCAATTATAATTAATATCTTGCCTTTTAATATACTAGATAATCCTGAATGTTTTTCTTTAAAGATTTTATTTATTTATTTATACAAGCACTGGGTACAGTTAGAAGCACAGGAGGGTGAGAGAATTCACCAGAGCCAGAGCTGAGAGCAGAACAGGTAGACTGACGAAATACACTGCTGAGGGGAGCAGCGGGCAACAGGAGAGGTCTACGCGCCATGTGGGACCCTCCTCGCCCGGTGGCTGGGGATCAAACCGGTGCTACAGAGGCTGTGGGCAGCTTTGCAACCCAGAGCTCAACCGCTGCGCCACCAGGGAGGCCCAATCCTGAATGTTTTAAAAGAAAAAGTAAGATCTATAATATCTTAACTAAAGGCTAAGGTGGAATTATTGTCAATATATCAAAATTGTGGTAAAATTTCATGTAACATCTTGCTGAAATTAAGAAAGATAAAATTTATGATAGAGAACATAATAACATATGATTTGCAAGCTTTTGCTTTACTACTCATGCAAGCACCACTGAGCCACACATTTGCAATAAGAATTCAGTTGTCTGGTAATTCATGGACTTCCAGTCACATGAAAACCGCGGTTTGAAATACACCACGCCATTAAAGGCACCAATTATGATTCAATCCCTCCCATTCCCCTTTAAATTGGTCTACGCAACAGCTATCTGAAAGCTCTCCAGAGCTTCGCCAGTGAGTGTACAGTCCCAGAAGAACACACGCGATAACCTGATTAGCAATTTTGTCACTTCAGGAAAGCCACTTTACCATCATGGAACATGAAAGGAAGTCTCTCCTTTTGCCTGATCTCTAGGAAATAACCATTTCCCTGAGGATGTGTTGCCTGCAAACCACTCTCTGGAACCACCAGACGGAAAGCTCTATGGAGGCAGGAGCCACGTCTGTCTTATTAATCATTGTATCCCTGGCACCCAGGCTATACTTACACACAGTAAATATCTGCTGAATAAATTAATGAATGACAAATGTTATTTCCTCTAAGGAAGCATTTTTTATTATAGTATTTATTACACATTTTTCTTTCACCATTTATCCCCTTTTGCTGAGTCTCTTGAGACAAGAACCTAATAACAAAGATACCCAGTAACTTAGAAACCAAGGAACAGAAAGACCTGTCTTTCAAATAACACAACAAGATCAGCATCCTACCACCATTCTCAAAGGAGACTTTGTGAAATCATTAAGAGCTTAAAAAACTCAGGCTCACCTGTCTAGGTAAGTGAAGCCATGGAAAAGCTGGACAGTTTAGGTTGCTAAGTACACAGAACTGATCTCCAAGACAGGGCAACGCTGTCTTCATCCCTACAAAAAAAAAAAAAAAAAAAAAGTCCTTTGAAACTGCCTGAATTTTTCATCTTAAAATGTAAGAAATTCTTTCCAATTTAACACAATTCAGTGCAAACAGGCATTCTTTCTAAAAGTAACAATTATGTCTGAGAATGTTAAGAGATTGGCTAGTAAAAATCCATCCATGTACACAAGGCAAATCAATTCAATGAAGTTATTTTTTTTTTCTAACATCAGAGACTCTCCTGGAGAGTTTGCTACTTTTGAAGGCCTAGAATTCTCAGAAAAGTCTTCTGATGATCTCATTTCCTGAATAAATTGCCTAACATGGAGCTAAGAATGATTCAATGACAAAGTAAGGGAGCACAAAACTGATTAGCTTCACAAGGGAAAAAAGTACCGGACAAAACCAAACATTTCTATGTATTACTACATTGTCACTTCATAAAAATAGGGTAGCTTTACTTTAAAAAAAAAAAAAAAAAAGATAGTTCTGGAGGCCTCCCTAGTGGCACAGGCGTTAAAGTCTCAGTGCTATCAAGCTATCATCAGCCACTGTGGTGATCCCCGGCCAGGGAGCAACCCACATGGCACAGCAGACCTCTCCTGTCTTGCCCCCCGCTCCCCTCAGCAGTGTATTCCAGTAGATCTGCCTGTTCTGTTCCCCACTCTGTCTCTGGTGAATCCTCTCACTCCCCACATCTCTGGCCTACACCACGGTACTTGTATATATAAATAAATAAAATCTGGTTTAAAAAAAGTTCCACAGTGCCAAATTATAATAACTGTTGAGTATTAAGTACAATTTAATTTTGCTATTTTTAGGGGAATTTGCCTAAAATCACCCCTTAATTTTATGACATGCAGATTTTAACAGATTTTTCCATGACTTAGTGTAATCATTAGTCTTTGTATCTTCTTTTCAATTTATGTCTATTTGGTTAATAAATAATGAAAATAGAGCCAAACATAGCAATAGCTCTGAATGTCTTTTCTTCTGGTGGAACAAGAGTTTCCATTTCCCCATCAAGAACAAGAGTTTCCGGGCCTCCCCGGTGGCGCAGCGGTTGAGCGCGGGGTTGCGAAGCTGCCTGCAGCCTCTGCAGTGCCGGTTTGATCCCCGGCTGCTCCCCGGCCACTAGAGGAGGGTCCCACATGGCGCGCGGACCTCTCCTGCCGCCCGCTGCTCCCCTCAGCAGTGTACTTCGGTCCTTCTGCCTGCTCTGCTCCCTGCTCTGGCTCTGGTGAATTCTCTCACCCTCCTGCGCCTCTGACTGCACCCGGTGCTTGTATAAATAAATAAATAAACAAATAAATAAATCTTAAAAAAAAAACATTTGGAAAAAAAAAGTGTATCTTAAAAAAAAAAAAAAGAACAAGAGTTTCCATTTCTGCAATGTTTAGGAGAAATGTAGGGTGACCAAAAAAATTGCTCTATTTTTATATTTTAAAAAAGTAAAAGTAAGAAACAATCACTATTCCTTGCACTTCCACATATGGTTGGACTAACTTTTAGTAACCACACCCCTATGTTCAGAACAGATTTAACCTTACATTTAAACCATTTGAACTTTTCGGGGATGTGGATTCTATCAGGAATAAGCTTTTAATTTATCATTAGCTGAATCTCATTGTTCACCATAAAAAAAAAATCACATCAAAGAAGGCTTAACTAAATGTAGAGATTTATCATATCCATGGATTGGAAAACTGGTCCTTCCATCATCTATGCAATGCCAACTTCTGCCAGGGGCTAGCTTCCTCGAGAAATACCCAGGGTATCCCCTAGTATCTTTGGAATTTCTCTTTCAGTGAGTCGTCTGTCATCATCTCTTTGCCTTTCAACCTATATCACATCACTTCATCCCTTGAGTGTCCTTTGCCTAAAAAGGATCCTTTCTTCACTATTTTAGAAAACAAGGGCCTCCCAGGTGGCACAGCGGGTTAAGCACAGCTGTGTGAGGCTATCCTTAGCCTCTACAGTGCAGGTTCGATTTCCAGCCAGCTGGAGAGATTCCCACATGGTGCAGTAGACCTCTCCTGTCTTGCCCGCTGCTCCCCTCAGCAGTGTATTTCAGTCAGTCTGCCTGTTCTGTTCCCTGCTGTCTCTGATGAATCCTCTCACCCTCCCGTACATCTGGCCTGTACCCCAGCTATTGTATAAATAAACAAAAAAGAGAGAGAGAGAGAGAGAGAGAGAGAGAGAGAGAGAGAGGAGGAGGGAGGAGAGGGAGAGAGAGAGAGAGAGAGAGAGAGAGAGGAGAGAGAGAAGGAGGGAGGGATGGAGGGAGGGAGAGGGAGGGAGGGAGGGGAGGGAGGAGGGAGGGAGGAAGGAAGGAAGGAAGGAAGGAAGGAAGGAAGGAAGGAAGGAAGGAAGGAAGGAAGGAAGGAAGGAAGGAAGGAAGGAAGGAAACAAAACACTCTTCGGGCCTCCCTGGTGGTGCAGCGGGTTGAGTGCAGTGCTGTGAAGCTGTCTGCAGCAGCGCTGTTTCGATTCCTGGCTGGCCAGGGAGATTCCCACATGGTGAGGCAGACCTCTCCTGTCTCGCCCGCTGCTCCCCTCACCAGTGCACATCGGTCCTTCTGCCTGTTCTGCTCCCCGCTCTGTCTTTGGTGAATTCTCTCACCCTTCTGCACCTCTGGCCTGTAACCCAGTGCTTGTATAAATAAATAAATCTTTTTAAAAAATAAAGTTTAGAAGGAAAAAAAAGAAAACAAAGCACTCTTCATAAGACATGTACTTTTCCCCTAGATCATACCAACCCAAGGATAAGGTAGATCCCAAATCTGTCTTTCAGATGCTGTCTCCATCTACACTTCTCCAGCTCATTTCCCTGCTGAACAGCTCTGGGTGTCCCAAGGGCCGCCTCATGGGTGCTCTCCAGAATAATCCTCCTGGTTACCCACATGGTTGACATCATCGCACTCCTTTGTTGGCAATTTCCCCTGGAGTTGCTAATGAACAACACAGCAGCTACAGAGCCATGCCCACTGGGTCTGATAGCTACTGGGACCCGCCAAAGGCACCAGTGCCGATGGAGAGTGCCTGTCCATGCACTCTGGCCTCTGACACCATCCAGGCCTGGCCTCTGACACCGCCCAGGTCTGGCCTCTGACACTGCCCAGGCCTGGCCTCTGATGCCGCTGATACTTTCTGTTCTCTGATATAGCTACTCTCACTGCTACACTTTCTCATTCCTGCCACCACACTCTATTATTCTAGGCCTGAGGATTGGGCCACAGAACTATATTTATAAACCTCTGCTACACTCAGCTCACCGGTCCACTCCCATGCTGGCTAACTGTGCTTTTTCTTCTTCAGCCTGTTGATGTGATGGATCACATTAATTGATTTTCAAATGTTGAACTATTTTATATGTAATTATATATAATTATTTTTATACATTGTTGGATCTGATTTACTAATATTTTATTGAGAACTTTTGCCCCGATGTTCAGGAGAGATACTGGTCTGTAGTTTTCTTGTAATGTGAAAGCATTTGGATGTGAGAGCAGTGCTGCCCTCAAAGAATGAATTAGGAAGTATTCCTTCTGCTTCTGTCTTCTGGAAGAGATTGCAGAGAATCGGTAGATTTTCTTAAACAGTTGGTAGAACTCACCAGTGAGTTTTCTGTTTTAGAAAGTTGTTAATTATTGATTCAATTTCTTTAATAGATATAGACCTATTCTGATTGTCATGTGATTTTCTCATACATCCACTGTGATCACTGTACTCTTGTTAAGGTCTTCAGTGACATCATGACTACCTTCTAAGTCCAGCATATGCCCTTCCGTCCACATCGTCTCCCACCACTCCCATACCCCGCGTATCTTACTACTTTCATTTCCTCCAAGATATCAAGCTCTCGTACTCCTATGCATTTACAAGGGCTTTTCTATTCCTAAAGCATACTTTTCCAACCGTATCTATTCTACTAAACTGCTTCTTGCAGAAATCTTCCCTGATGTCTCCAGACAGTCAAGCTGCCCCATTCAACTTGTGCAACAGAAAAACAAAAATTGATTCTTTAAAACTAAAAAGAAAGAAATCCAAACTTTTAAACCATTATTTAAATACGTCAATGTAATCCAAGATGTAAAATGAAATAAACTATAAAATACTGATCATAACTGAAGATTATGTCCTTATAAATCCAGTATTTACGACAGACATATTTTGACAGAGCAAACCAAAAACACAAATATTAATAGATTTCCATTTAAGATAAAGGTTAAGTGTATATGAAGATTGAAGGTAAACTCCTTTAAGTATATGAGTACACATATTCACTTTTGAGGACTGCATTATGAAATGTTAGTGTCTTTTGTTTCTTTTTATTTATTCTGAAAGTTTAAGAGCAGAAACTTGACTAATATAGACTTGGGGCAAATAGTACCTCCATCTCTTATAATCTGTGAGACTTGACCAAGTGATTAAACCCAGTCTCAGTTTTTTTCATGGGGAAAAAAATAAATAGTAATTGGTGGTAATGGTAAATGATGGCAATGATAATACTTGAATTACAAAAAAATTTTATTATCAGAAATAATGTCTCTCCTTCCACATAAGCTTTTGAAAAAGTATTTTTTACCATGAATCCTTAGTTCCCTAAGAATAACCTGTTCAACAGAGAATCCATTCTTCAACACAGCTCCCCTTCCCCTTTATTAATTTTTATAACTTTGGCAAAAGAGTAGAATATGGTAGATAATATTCTCAATGGAACAACATTTCAAGTAAAGTAATCCTTCCTAAATTTCTTATCAGTATTTTTTAAAAATTAATCATGTCTAGTAAAATAGTCACTCAGAAGTACAAGTTCCATTTTACTATGAAACATAAATAGCTTTGAATAGCACAGAGATATTCAAAACAGGCAAGATAGAGACTGGGACACACCACAGTCAGAGATGGCGTCATGAGCTTAATTGTGTGTCCTCCTCAAAACTCACGTAATGAAGTCCTGTCTCCCAGTACCTCAGAATATGAATACAGAATGTGACTATTTGGAGACAGGGTCTTTAAAGATGTAATTAAGTTAAAATGAAGTTATGAGGCTGGGCCCTAATATATTATGATTGTGTGCTTCTAAAATGAGGACATTTAGACACAGACTAGTACAGAAAGAGGACAATGTGAGGTTACAGGAAGACAGCCAACTATAAGTCAAAGAGAGAAGCCTGGATCAAATCCTTCCCTCAAGTCCCTTAGGAGAAACCCACTCTGCTGAACCTTGATCCTGGACATCCAGCCTCCACAACTGTAAGAAAAATAAATTCTGTTGCTTGAAGCCGTCCAGTCTGTGATACTTTGGTATGGAAGCCCTAGTAAACCAGGGCGAAGCATACAAGAGTGTACATTTGGAAAGAAATACTAGAATGTAAGCTCCATGAATGCAGGAGTTTTTGTCTTTTTATCCAAGGATGTATGCCAAACATTGAGAACAATAACTGACATGTAGTAGGTGTTCTATAAATATTTACTGAGTGAACTGATAAAGTGAATTGATAATTCTTCCCATAGATGATTCTATTAAGTAACACCAATGCTTCATTCATTCTTTTGATTTTCATAAGACCTGAAAACCTGGACTTCCCGGGCTCTTACCAAGTTGTTGTATAACAGGTCTGCTGCCATAGGCAAATGTGTAAAATCTTCCCATGAAACACGTTAGGATACCAAGCCTGGAGTGATTTTCTGAAGAGAGGAGCTAAGAAGACAAAAACATTGTTGTGATCAATACCTGTGAATTAGTGCATAGAGAGAAACAGACCAAATTTATTAGTCCTGGGAAAAATGCCAGAACAGATGGGACTTGCTGGTATTGTTGTTCCCTCAAAACTATCTGATTAGTTGACTTTACTAAAGACATTGAGAACAGCTGGATTCGCAATTTAAAGGAAAAGAAAATAAATTAGGGCTTTCCTGTTATTCCCATTAAAGCATTTGTGTGGACACAGGAAATAGCCTAATTAAATTTCCTTCTGTCTTATTCAATTATGGATTCATATGCATGTCTGTCTTCAAACTCATGTCCATGTCTTAATATCATCACTCTAATCATCAATCAATACTTAACGATATCCTTCATTTGCTAGGCAAATAACAGCAACATAAAACGTAGAAGAACTACAAAATATTTTATACTCTGATTTTAACTATATGCAAATATCCTTTTGATAACAGCTAAGGGGAAAAACGCACCAAAATCACAGTCATTCCGTTAAAGGCAATAAGACTACAAATAACTCCCTTCAAACTATTTTTAGATAATGTAATTTTATATAATGTCTCCACTTTTAAGGCATAAATATCTCAAAAAACACTAACTTCTAATCATTGCTGGAAGAAAATTCAGGATTAGAAGTTCCCCCAGACTATGCATAGGAAAGCCAGAATATAACAATTTCATGGGTGAGTGAAATTGAACCTTTTAAAACCCAAATGTGGAAATCCTCATCCTATCTCAAGTAATTTTAAAAAGCAAGTCAGAGTTTGCTCTTAGTTTGGGGCCTGGAATGAGCTCCAGAACTGATGCAATCTGAAACCAAAGCCAACAAGTGTTTACCAAAGTCTTTGTCCCAAAGGGAGAATCCTCTTGTCTAATTCTCCAGAAGTGATGCTGTTGGGATTGCCTTGAGCAAAAGCAGCAGGGAGGAGACCAAACATTAATTTCATACCATTTTCCTTTTCAGCAAAAATAAAAACTCTATGCTTTCTCATGATAGGCAGTTGGTAAAAATGCTCTCCCCTACTGAAGGGCTTAAGTACCTGCAAGTGCATTTGTTCCTCTCTGGAGCAGCAGGAAGTCCATGCCACTGGGGCTTTATTTGTTATGGAATGGAAAAAAGAAGCTGCGCACTTTCTCAGAGTGATTTATCAGCTGTACTCCCCTCCTTACCTTCTCCAGGCTTAAGAACAGAGGGACTGCCAAGCTGTACTCCACCCCAACACCCCCAACACTATAAACTTCTTGGCCCGTGTCACTGCAAGTCAACCTAAGAGATCTGCATGGAGTTTCAGCCACAGGACAGTCTGCACCCCAAAGCAGAAATGATCAGCCACCTGTTTCAACTGTCGGTGCTCATTTCTGTCCTGTCAGCCACAAACTTCCAGAGCTAAAATCGGAAAACCTAGCACTTATATTACGCAAACACCACAGAGTGTGGAATACTATACAACCAAACACAGAGCACATGAAGAAGACAAAAGGGCTGCTACCTCACCAGGGGAATTTTTGTAGTGGGGGAGCTTTGTGGACCGGCTCTGCATCGCGGTTGGGGTGGTGGTGACAGGACTCCACGCGGGGGACAGAATGGCATGGCCCTGTACACACACTTGTGCCAGAGCCACTTTCCCGCCTTTGACTCCACGGCCAGGTGAGAGGTCACCTGTTGGAGGAAATTGGGGAGAAGGGCACATCGCCTCTCCTTGAGCTTCCTCTGACTGATTTACCTCAGTGGATGTTCTGGAAGCGCACCTTCTTGGGTACATACTTTGAACATTTTGCATTAGGACAAGTCGCGGAGAACAAACCCTAACCGGTTTTCCAGCGTGAGGTGTTTCGGCCCCAAGCCGGGGAAAGCTTGAGGGGGAGTCCAGCTGACGCCCTCTCCTCTCTGGCTGGGCCTCCCTTTCTGAAACCCCCCGCCCGGCCCTCCCCCTTCCCAAGACCGGCCTTGCCGTCCCCTCAGCGCCACCTGTGCATCCTCCGAGCGCCCGGCTCGCCGAGATGAGCCCAACGAGCCGCTCAGACGCCACGAGGCCAGGCCCGGTGTCTGCTCCTCGAGCGGACGCCCGACCTGGCGCACGCTGCCGGGCAGGCGGCAGGGCCTCGAGAAAGGCCCTTGCTGGTCACCTGCACCTCACGTGAGGCCGCGGCCCGGCCCGGGCAGGCTGCGCCCCGGGAGGGCGCCATCTTCCCCTCCAAACCGCCCGCCCGGAAGCGCGCCCGCTCCTCCTTCGCACCTTTCCCTCCCCGCTGCCCCTCAGCCCCGCCCCGACACCTTCAGCCCGCCTCGCGGCCTCCGCCCCGCCCCCCGCCCCGCGGCGCCGCGGGGACCCCACCTCCGGGGTGCCGGCCCCTCCCTCAGGCGGCGCCTCGCCCGGGAGTCCGCGGCCTTCGCGCGCGAGGGGGCGGGCGGAGGGGGCGTGTCCTCGCGGCCCTGAGCGCTGATTGGCCGGGTCGCGGGGGGCGGGGCATCGGGGGCGGGGCCGCAGCCCTGGCGCCAGCCCGGGGTCCGCTCCGCGCGGTTCTCGCCACTCGGGCTCCGGCTTCGGCGATCGCAGCACCGCAGCGCGGCTCCGGCTCGGCAGCATGGCTGAGAAGCGGCACGCAGGGGACGCCCAAGCCCGGCGGGTCCCCGACTCCTTCAAGGGTGAGCCCCACGCCGCTGGCCAGCCCGGGGGGGCCCCCGCCGCTCCCCACCTTCCCTGCTGCCTGGGGGCTGCGCGACGGTTGCTCGCGGCCGGTGTCCCCTCGCACGCCGGGGCCAGCCGACCCCGCCGGGCAGGCTGGGCGCGGGCCCGGGGCGGCGGGTGCAGGGGGCGCCCCCACAGCGGGGCGCCTTGCCGCTGACTCGGAGCCTTGGCGGGGCCTCGCGCTGGCCCGAGGCTTCCAGATGCCAGGTCCGGTGCCAGCTCCCAGCTCATTCATTATCTCTGGTCTTGCACGCGCGCCACCAAGTGCATCTGTGACTCGCGGCTGGCGAGGGTGGAGCCGGGGCGCACACCTGCGCCCCACACCCGCGCCCCGCGTCTTCCGCCCACTCCCCTTCCCCCCCCCATCCTGAGGAGACCGTCTCCTCCACCCAGCCCCCCGCCCCCGACCTAAGGAAGCCCCCCGCCCCCGGAATTGTTGGGAACTCCTGCTCCCACATCCGCATCCGTCCATCCCATTTCATCTTAACGCCCACCTGTTGAAGGTTGGCCCCCCCACCCCACCCCCGCCCCGCTCCCGACACAAAGTGGACTGTCTCTGCGGGAGAGAAGAAGGAAGGGTCTTCGGTACTCTCCATGTCGCTTTCCAGCTTCACTTTCTGTCTCCTGCCCCCTTCACTTTGCTGCCTTGGTCCCAGGGACCTGTCATGCAGCCAGGTTCCCCCACCGTCCCAGGGCCTTCCTAGTCTGAAGGCAGAAGCTGTGAATGGCCCAGTGTTGTTCCCTTGTGAAAGAGCTAGAACCCTTGAGAAAGCTAGCACCTGGAATCTTTATTGGCTAACCTCTTGGGGGGCTGGGGGAGTCCAATAAAGAGAGGTGATAAACCTCTCAGGGGTACTGGTTCCCTCCCTGGGGCTCTTAGTGATCCAAAGGAATTATTTCTAAGATGGAATTTCAGACAGGAAGGCAAAGGGAAAGAAAGTGAAGGGGCTGGGTGGGCTTTTCCAGCACCCCACAAAGAAGGGTACATTCGAGGCATCTGTTCTGATTATTTGAATAACCAGCCTTGTCCACCCATCTAGAATAAGTCCCGTATCTCTGCCCAGGAATCCTTGTCTTTAATTCCTTTCCAGGAGCACCAACAGAATTGGGGAAATCGTTTCACTCTGCTCTACTAACCTCCTTTGAGAGTTAGCTGTCCAAATTAGGAGTCTAAGAGGGAGGAGTAGATGAGAATAATAGCCCCCCCCCCAAAAAAAAAATTAAGTGCTGTGTATTTTATTTGTTATTTTATTAAATCCTCACAGCAGATAATGTGGTACTCCTGTCCTCTCCCCACTTAATGCTTGACAACACTGATTCTCTAAGAGGTTAAGTCACTTAAAATGATACAGTTTACGAGTCTTGGAGCTTTATTTTAAGTCTGGATTTGAATACTTCAAGTACTGACTCTAAAGCTTGAGCCTGCAAAAATCGTGAATCCACCTCTTTGCTAGCTGTGTTTTCCTAGAGAGGAAGTGGACAGGATCCCTCCCTCTGTGCCCTGACCTCCTGCTGGGAGTCAAAGGACTGTGAGGACCATATTAAAGTTTTGATGAAACTGCAATGGGAAATCTGTGGGAGTTTTTTAGGAATGAACGTGATCTTTGTACTTAATGTTCATTTGGTTGTTTTTCACGGTCACACTTTAAATTATTTTTCTTGGTACTATACCTGATCTCTTTTTTAGACAGGAATCTTAAGAATCTAATGAAAACTGTGTACCCCCTCAGAAAATTATATATACATATTTTGCTTGGTGTGTACCATTTTTTTTTTTTTAATGTAAACCTCAGCTCTGACACTGGTAAGAAAACAATTACAATTACTAAAATTTGTTAAATAGAATTTACGGAGTGCTTACCATGGGCTGAACTCAAGTCAGGGTGCTTTACAAACGTTATCTATTTGTAGTCCTCTGATAGCTCCACAAGGAAGATGTCAATATCAAGATGGATTCTGTATCTTTATATGTGTGATTCTGTGCAATGAAGATAAGAGTTATTCGCCAAATGGGATAAAAATTTTAGGTGCTATCATTAAATTTAAAGTATACCACCAATGAGATTGATCGATTTACCAACTATTTCTCACTCACTCTATGCAGCGTAAGCTATCAGGTCTGTGAGAATTAATACATGAGTAAGCTATAGAAATTGACTTCATGTAGCTTGCGCTTGATTTGGAATTTAAGTACATAAGAATAAATATTGTAGAAAATATAAAACAGGAAAAAAGAGGAGAGTGTAATATCATTATCCACCATTTCACAGCCAGGAAACTGAGGCTCAGAGTGGAAAAATCACATGAACTGGGTGTGATTAGGGGTAGGCTTCAAGCCTGGGCTCTCTAATCTAGACCAGTTTTCAAAGCCTAGAGCTACCTTCAAGGTACACAGCCAAATGGAGGAGCCTGTCAAACACCAGCACTTCACTGAAGGTGAGAGAGTAAACAACAAAAGCCCAGGGGAAAATAGCTTCAGTCAAGACCTCTTGGATAGCTGCAGCTCCAGAGGGCTCCTTCTGCAGAAAGCAGTGGAGAATAAAAGTCCAAACTCTGTCCCTTTGTGCCTTTGCTGGTAATTATTCTGAGGAACATAAATGTGAGCAAACCTAGGGCAAGACTTTTTCCTTAAAGCCAGTTCATTCACTTTGTAATGAAATGATGCAGGTAGAAATGTATTATTATAATTAAGAACCATGTCAACAGAATAAATCCCTCTGGGAGAAGGCCTGAAAATAAGCAGAATCATGGGACTGATTTGTTTATTTCAGTTGTCACAGCCTATGAGATTGGGAAGAACTTTTTAACTTCCTTAATAATTAATCTGAGCTAAACCATTAATGGTTAAACAAAAATAAACTCAAACCAACAACCAAGTCTACAAAAGCTGGCATTTGTGTATTTTGTTTATGGTTAAATAGGTTCTTGGTCCTACCAATCCATGTACATTTTACACTGTTAAAGACAAAATCACTTGGAATGCCTGGTCCGCTCTGAAGGAAGCCAAAATTTAATGTTGGTAAAGTGATAGAGATTGGGTTCAAAATCTATTTTTTAAGAAGGTGTAGAAATCTTTTCCTAAAACCTTTTAAAAGGTGAGCACCTGTCTTCTGTGTCTGCCTGGCATCCTGTACACATCTTGATCTATCTTAAGGCTTATTACACAGTATTCTCATTATCGGTTGACTCATGAGTTATCTGATCCCCCATCATTTTAGACCAGCGAGCTTTTAAAGCAGAGATGGTGCTCTTCTGCACTGAAATAAACTCAGGATCTACTACATAACAGGTTTGCAAAAATGTTCTTTGAAAGAAAAAGGAAGCATAGAAGGGAGGTAGAGGCCCCAGCTCCTACGGGATAAATCACAAGGTTATGTGTTTGACTTAGGACGGTGGAGAAATTTTTCTGTATTCATTTCATTGAGTTTGTTATAACCAGGTTGTTGATTTAAGGAACATGTAATGTTCCTTATTACATGTAGACTTGTTTATTTATAGGCTGTCTAGGTTTCTATGATTAGTGAAGGGATTGTAATTGTGAAAAATATATATTGTACATAGTAAGGAATCTGCATGTATTGAAATGTGGAAAGAGAAGCTAGAGGTCCCAGCCTGTAGAAAGAAGGAAGTGTGTGTGGCACGGCTGTTCTCCAGTTCTCTGTGACCGAGTGCTCACGCACCCTGGCTCCTCCATTCTCTTTGAATCTTTGTCTGTACTCAGGGACTAGAAAGGAAACTTGAACACCAAGCATTTGTCCTGACATTTCAGTGGATTAACCTTGAATATACAACCAATGAAGTGTCCAGTGGTGACAATTATACCAATTTTTTTGTCTAGACGTGAATGTGCATTTATGGTAAGATGGTATCATCTAATGGAATGAGAGCAGAATTTAGAATTCAGAGGTCTGAATGGAGAGGTCTACCATCATTTATTACTTGAGTCACCTCGGGCGAGGCTTTCCACCTCCAGGGCAACCCCTCAACCACATGTTGGACGTAGTCTTACTGCAGCATATATTTCCCAAGGTTTTGAGTATCAAATAAGAAAGTGTATGTGAATATACTTCTGAAACTTTAAAATGGAAGTCATTGGCGTTATTTACATTATGGACATAAAGTCATATGGATGGTTCAAGAAAGTTTAGAGTTCTGTCTTGCCTCTCCAAATGTGGTCTGTTTCTCCTCTTGAGACAGGGTCCCCAAGCAGATTGTTAGTCTTGGTATTTTTTTCTGTGGCAGGTCCCCAAAGGCAATTCACTTAACAAAAAGTTTAGTGCTATAAATTATATTAATAGTGATCACAAAGCTGCAATAATAATAGCTATTATTTATTGAGCACTTTCTAAGTGCTAGCTTACATCTTTTCACTTTTAATCTAGTTAATAGCAATAATAACTATATGAGCTAAGTACCAACTGGGAAAATGTAGCCTTACCTAACAGGAAACTCCAAGCCCTTAGGCACTGCTTTGCTGTTTGGCCTCAGTGGAAGAATTAGCAACATTATGCTCTAGTTTTCTCATACTTTACTGTTTCTTTCTTTCTTTCTTTCTTTTATTAAAATAATGTTACCTCCAAAGACTTTTGAGAAAAACTTAAATATACTTTTAAGATATTAAAGTGTAAAAACTGGGAGCTGGGGGAGGCATTCCTCCTGAAGACGGAAGGTTTGGTTTTGTTTTAATATTTTAATATTTCAGGTCTAATCTAACCCTAATTAACTTAATACTGTTGTGAAATTGTTTTTCTCTCCAATTTTTGTGAACCTAACTACTTTCATCTTCCCAGCTACGGGAAGAGCCCATGCTTGTCTGCCTTCCTAAATTCTCTCACCTCATGGGTGGAAAAGGTCTGATTTTTAAAAAGAAAGCAGGGTGGCAACTGCTTTGGGACAGCGGTGATTCTGAACTCTCTCCTTGAATCCTGTCTGCTGACACGCAGTTTCCTTTTTTCTT